TCCGGCACTATATATTCATATAATAAAAACTTTCCAAACCTGATGTTCGAATCGTATGTACATCGCTATATATATATACACAGAGGTTTTGGGGGTTCCTCCATGTTCTAAGTAAGAATCCCACCAGCTATCTACGTGCATTTTGGAAAATCCTGTGTATATATAATATATTTTGAATATTGTAGTTGTCCGGCACTATATATTCATATAATAAAAACTTTCCAAACCTGATGTTCGAATCGTATGTACATCGCTATATAGAGGTTTTGGGGGTTCCTCCGTGTTCTAAGTAAGAATCCCACCAGCTATCTACGTGCATTTTGGAAAATCCTGTGTATATATAATATATTTTGAATATTGTAGTTGTCCGGCACTATATATTCATATAATAAAAAACTTTCCAAACCTGATGTTCGAATCGATGTAATCGCCTATATATATATATATTTATATAACACAGAGGTTTTGGGGGGTCCTCCATGTTTCTAGAGAGTAGAATCACACCCAAGCTATCTACGGGCATTTTGGAAAAATCCTGTGTATATATTATATATATTTGAAATATTGTAGTTGTCCGGCACTAATATTAGGCATCTGATTAAAAAAAAAACTTTACAACCTGATGTTCGATTCGGCAATCGATGTACACTCGCTATCTATATTATACACAGAGGTTTTGGGGGTTCCTCCATGTTCTAAGTAAGAATCCCACCAGCTATCTACGTGCATTTTGTAAAATCCTGTGTATATATAATATATTTGGAATATTGTAGTTGTCCGGCACTATATATTCATATAATAAAAACTTTCCAAACCTGATGTTCCAATCGTATGTACATCGCTATATATATATATACACAGAGGTTTTGGGGGTTCCTCCATGTTCTAAGTAAGAATCCCACCAGCTATCTACGTGCATTTTGGAAAATCCTGTTTATATATAATATATTTTGAATATTGTAGTTGTCCGGCACTATATATTCATATAATAAAAACTTTCCAAACCTGATGTTCGAATCGTATGTACATCGCTATATATATATACACAGAGGTTTTGGGGTTCCTCCATGTTCTAAGTAAGAATCCCACCCGCTATCTACGTGCATTTTGGAAAATCCTGTGTATATATAATATATTTTGAATATTGTAGTTGTCCGGCACTATATATTCATATAATAAAAACTTTCCAAACCTGATGTTCGAATCGTATGTACATCGCTATATATATATACACAGAGGTTTTGGGGGTTCCTCCATGTTCTAAGTAAGAATCCCACCAGCATCTACGTGCATTTTGGAAAATCCTGTGTATTAATAATATATTTTGAATATTGTAGTTGTCCGGCACTATATATTCATATAATAAAAACTTTCCAAACCTGATGTTCGAATCGTATGTACATCGCTATATATATATACACAGAGGTTTTGGGGGTTCCTCCATGTTCTAAGTAAGAATCCCACCAGCTATCTACGTGCATTTTGGAAAATCCTGTGTATATATAATATATTTTGAATATTGTAGTTGTCCGGCACTATATATATTCATATAATAAAAACTTTCCAAACCTGATGTTCGAATCGTATGTACATCGCTATATATATATATACACAGAGGTTTTGGGGGTTCCTCCATGTTCTAAGTAAGAATCCACCAGCTATCTACGTGCATTTTGGAAAATCCTGTGTATATATAATATATTTTGAATATTGTAGTTGTCCGGCACTATATATTCATATAATAAAAACTTTCCAAACCTGATGTTCGAATCGTATGTACATCGCTATATATATACACAGAGGTTTTGGGGGTTCCTCCATGTTCTAAGTAAGAATCCCACCAGCTATCTACGTGCATTTTGGGAAATCCTGTGTATATATAATATATTTTGAATATTGTAGTTGTCCGGCACTATATATTCATATAATAAAAACTTTCCAAACCTGATGTTCGAATCGTATGTACATCGCTATATATATATATATACACAGAGGTTTGGGGGGTTCCTCCATGTTCTAATTAAGAATCCCACCAGCTATCTACGTGCATTTTGGAAAATCCTGTGTATATATAATATATTTTGAATATTGTAGTTGTCCGGCACTATATATTCATATAATAAAAACTTTCCAAACCTGATGTTCGAATCGTATGTACATCGTTATATATATATATACACAGAGGTTTTGGGGGTTCCTCCATGTTCTAAGTAAGAATCCCACCAGCTATCTACGTGCATTTTGGAAAATCCTGTGTATATATAATATATTTTGAATATTGTAGTTGTACGGCACTATATATTCATATAATAAAAACTTTCCAAACCTGATGTTCGAATCGTATGTACATCGCTATATATATATATACACAGGTTTTGGGGGTTCCTCCATGTTCTAAGTAAGAATCCCACCAGCTATCTACGTGCATTTTGGAAAATCCTGTGTATATATAATATATTTTGAATATTGTAGTTGTCCGGCACTATATATTCATATAATAAAAACTTTCCAAACCTGATGTTCGAATCGTATGTACATCGCTATATATATATACACAGAGGTTTTGGGGGTTCCTCCATGTTCTAAGTAAGAATCCCACCAGCTATCTACGTGCATTTTGGAAAATCCTGTGTATATATAATATATTTTGAATATTGTAGTTGTCCGGCACTATATATTCATATAATAAAAACTTTCCAAACCTGATGTTCGAATCGTATGTACATCGCTATATAGAGGTTTTGGGGGTTCCTCCGTGTTCTAAGTAAGAATCCCACCAGCATCTACATGCATTTTGGAAAATCCTGTGTATATATAATATATTTGAATATGTAGTTGTCCGGCACTATATATTCATATAATAAAAACTTTCCAAACTGATGTTCGAATCGTATGTACATCGCTATATATATACACAGAGGTTTTGGGGGTTCCTCCATGTTCTAAGTAAGAATCCCACCAGCTATCTACGTGCATTTTGGAAAATCCTGTGTATATATAATATATTTTGAATATTGTAGTTGTCCGGCACTATATATTCATATAATAAAAACTTTCCAAACCTGATGTTCGAATCGTATGTACATCGCTATATATATATATACACAGAGGTTTTGGGGGTTCCTCCATGTTCTAAGTAAGAATCCCACCAGCTATCTACGTGCATTTTGGAAAATCCTGTGTATATATAATATATTTTGAATATTGTAGTTGTCCGGCACTATATATTCATATAATAAAAACTTTCCAAACCTGTATAATATGAATCCCATCCCAATTAATCAAACACCCACCAGAGTCCCCATGGAGGATGACCTCCTTTCCAGCGTTGTGCTTCTTGGTCACCAAGACTCCGCCCCAATTGACGCAACATCACACCTCCTGTATATATAATATAAATATGCTGTGTTAAGTTGTATGTATGTATACATATACATATATTTTCATGTATATATGATGGCGTGTTCTAAGTAGAGGATCCTCATATGTTCTAAGTCACTTAGAACATACGTCCCCTATTCGCCGAAAATGTTCTAAGCAGAGGGCGCGTACCCACCGAAAAAATTCCAAAACGATGTTCTAAGTAGTTGTCCGGCGCTATATATATATACACACTATTAGTGAATAGTTATGAATACAGTAATAATTAGAATACTAATGGATGGGTGCGTGCGTAGGTGCGTGCGTGGGTGCGTGGGTGCGTGCGTGGGTGCGTGGGTGCGTGGGTGCGTGGGCGGGTTTGTGGGTTTGTGGGTTTGTGTGTGTGTTTGTTGCTCACTGGCATGTGCAAACAATTATTGTATATTATTGTGGGATATTGTGGGCTTGTATCTTTGCAGTTGGTTTGTCAAACTTCTCCTTTAGGAAAATGATCTCTCTCCCTCTCTCTCTCTCTCCATGGTCGCACGGTGCTTATTGCACGAGTGATCACGAGTGTCTTGGGATCCTGGTATCCTCATGTAATTCTATGTATATAATTCTCTTGATCTGCGTACCAAAACTGCACAGACCACGTCCAACACAGGCTGTTTTTCAGCAGCTATAGGGCTATAAGCTGTAGTTTTATGTTGTAACTGCTCGCTTTAACAGATCTATCCCCAAACGGCCTGCGGATGCCTCTGTCTGTCTATTTACTAGCTCCCTGTGTGATTCTCCGAGCATCTCCGAACCATTGCAGTGTCACTTCAAAAATCTTTAACCATCTTGAACCTTGAACAATTTTGCACATTGAATCATCTTGAGACATTGAATCTACGAGTAGTAGCTTGCCGGGTTTTGCCAGCAGACTAACGACTGGGGCTCATATCCACGAGGGTAACCTCTTGAAGCATGATTATCCAGGATGAAAGCTGCGCCACTAGGATTGAGACCTGATCGTGTAGGTGTTTCCCTGTGTGTGTGTGTGTGATCCAATGAATTCTGTCTCTGTGTATGTGTGTGTGTGTCCGTTTGATTTCTCGTTCGTACACATAGAAGAGTGGTGATGATATATGATGATATATGATGATTGCTGGTTCCGGCCTCGTTGCCTCAAGTGCTCTCGGACTTCGTCCGCCTTCTTAAAATTAGCGGCTTTCCGTGCATCATTGCCTCAAACGGATAGCTTGATCTCAGCAAATCATGGAAGATAAGGCAACACAACGCTAAAATCAGTTATTTTGTGTGAAATTTGCCACTATCCTCCCAAATGTGTTGTATGTTACAAGGAAAGGCTGAATAAGGCTGAGACGTTCTTCAATCATTCGCTCAATCTCCTCATCGGACGGAGCCCCGGCAGGTCTCTCTCCACGGTTCCTTGGATGACTTGGATACACAAAGGCACTGGCCTATGGCCATCACAGGGCCAAATCGGACCAAATGAGGCTCCCTCGACATTTCTCTGCAAGACATACTGTTTCTATCTGTTTCCTTCTAAAGTCGATCATGTGGGCAAACACCCGTCAAACAACTCCTCAAAATTATACTCAAGTCTGTTGTAGTTGATGTTCTTGGTCCCGACTCTAAGGTCCAAACCCAACAAAAGACCCCGATCCACCTGCCGATGGCTTCGCAGGGATTTCTGGTTCAAAAGTACCTCAGAAAAGTGCTTCGAAATGCTTCAAATAATTTCAAATACAGTATCTTCGTATGCAACTTGAATTGCCAAGAGTCACCTTCTCTGTCCAGAATCTTGTGCATTGAAACAGCTGACAAGGCACCTTTCTTGGAAATCTTCACTTCCAACTCAGGAATGGGTTTGCCGTGCTGCTGGCAAAAGGCCTTCAGCAAGCATCGTTTTCTTTCACTGTCTGGCTTCATCTGCATAATGCAACCGGCTCTATTATCCTCATTTCATACGAAATGACGAAGGTGCTGACCATGCCCAAGGAACGGTTGGCAGCAGTACTGCACCGGGTGTCATTTGTCATGCGTGTAACATCGTGTAACTATCATCACCTGGTAGAAATGCCAATGCCAGTTGGCACACTTGCCATCACTTGCCACTGCTCATGAATCGCACAAGTCTTCCATGCCATGACTCCATGACTCGGATTCGCTAAACACAGCGAAGTGCCCAAAGCATCAAAAGCAGTGGCGGCCAGGAGATGTATTAAAATATGTAGTATTATGTAGTGCATACTAATGTTTATATAAACTATATCAATATGTCTACGTAGCACTAAGACAATGCAAAGACGCAGTCACAAGCGAAGTCGAGGCAATCTGACTTGGGACTCGGTATAATTATAATGAACAATTTTGCCTTGCTGGAATGATTCGAGCGATACCAACCACTGGCTTCGACTTCACAGTGCAGCACTTGCCGAGGCAAGCTGCAACAAATGTAGAAGAATGCTTGCGCATGCTTGCGCATGCGAAGTTCAAGGATAGAACATGATAGAACATGATAGAACATGATAGAACACTTGATCTTGCAAAGAAGGAGGGCGGTCAAATCCAGAACTGTCTTTCAACTAGCTGGACAAAGAAATAAAACGAGTGGCCGAGGAGGAGGGATCCTTTTACAAAACTCTTTTCTAACATATATAACATTATATATATATACAGTGTATAATTATATATATAACTTTTGTTGGTCACATCGAACATCTATTCAAAGAGCGTGTGTCAACCCTCCACGCATGGCTCGAACATGAGTCAAGACCCAGGCACAATAAGGATCAATAAGGTGCACATTGCACATTGTGACACTTTTTGTCATGGTGCAGTCATGTGCAAAATGCAAACACTTGAGTACACCATATGCGGACCTTGTAGTCTGTATGGACCTTCTGCAATTGCGTCTCCGCATATTGCACAGCCTGGGGCGCTCGCTCGAACACAAGCATCGAGTGGAGTTCGTGGCTCGAGAAAACCTGTTGCAATTCACTTCAAGAAATGTCTCCATATGCAGCTATTCTGGACATGCACTGTATAAGTGGCCTTGTCAAAGGCTGCCTGGTCCCGGCAGGAAATACACAATGCCAAAGGTTCCTAGGAGTGCTTCGATGAGTGTCAGTCTTGCAGAAGGCAATTGCAACACGACCACCAAGACAAATGTGCGACCAGTTTTTCTACGATATATAGTCCGACAAACATTCCTTGATGCCACCAAATTTCATCTCCTTCATGAGGTCCGCCAATGCCTTTGCCACGAAGCCTTGTCTTGCCACCGTGTTCTTGAAATTTGGGATCCTTGCATCAAAATCTTTTGTCTGGCCACAGCAGCTCACCACTTTTCAGACTTGTCACTGTCCAGTGCAGTCCTGCCAAATTGACCTCGCAATTTGAATGACCCGGCTGCCCACACGGAATTCACCCTCATTCTCCTTGGCTTCGTGAAATTGCGTGGCGGCTACATCATGCTACATCCGGGGTAGCACGATACTCACTTTGGGGAGCTTGATCTAAGTTGTGTCACTCATTCTAGGGTAAGGCAGCTGAAGCTATCTTGCCACTGCCATGCCCCACACTGCCACTTGGAAGTCTATATAATATAAAGCAGGTATCTGAACACACTTCCAAGCAAAGACAACTCATGCACATCTGTGCAGGCGTGCCATGCCATGCTATCCCATTCCCAATCTGCGCCAAGGAGAAGTCCACTACACTCTTGCATTCTTGCATAGTGTCAACGCACTTAGGGAGCCAAACGGTACTTAGTACGAGTATCACTGCTCAAACTTACAGGAACATTCCACAACATGGCTGAAGGAGGTTGAAGAATTTTCTTAGATAAAATCGTGTCCTTGTTTGTGCTGCCAAATGGCAATTCCCACTTCCAGCTTGCATGTGAACTTCTTCGGCTGGCCTCGAGGCACAACTTGGACAATCTGAGCATCTGCGCTCAACAATTCAATCACAACACAACACATCTTTCGCCAAATTAAGGCCGGAACCTGCGGCAGACTGTGCAGGGCTTGTGGCCACTGGAGGGGGAAGCGCAGGCATTGGATAGCCTGCCCAACGGACCAGAACGGCCAAATGGGTTGGCAAAATAGTAAAAGGATGTAAAAGGTATTTAAAGTCATTATAAATAATTATTAAAAGGTGAGAAAATGTGTTGCCGAGATTTCATGCGAAGTTGTGCGAAACCGGGAACAACTGCAGCGTCCAAGCTGCGTGCTCCGCCTGGTCCTGAAGGTATCATCGGATTCATGAAGGACCTGGCGCTCCCCCATTGCTTTGGACCGCAATCCTGCTTTCGGGTCAGGTCCCTCCCCTTACAACTGGTTTCACATTCAAGCCAAGGAGCGATGCCGCCATGTGCTGCAGAAATTGAGGATCTGGTGCAGGAGGTACCGCATATGGTCCTATGCAACATCCATAAGTGCAAAAGCTGTAATGCTCCGAAACCTTCTGCGCGTCGCATGTGCAAAATGTGCTACATGGATATGAGTTTCTATGTGCAAACATGTGAGCTTAGCCCGTTGTCTGAGCAAATAATTTGAGCTATGGATTTGTTCATGAATGCCTGCTTTGTGGTACACCGCCTTGTCCTGTCTTGTCCTGTCTTGTCGTGTCTTGTCTTGTCTTGTCTTCAAAACCAATTACTGCACTGTACCGTACAGCAATTCAATCACTGCAATGTTTGAACACATGCGAACGCAAACATATCCAACTGATGCTGGACATACTACAACAACACACGACTACCCAAACGCAAATCCAGAACTGCATATGTGATGTCTTGGGCAATCTACCACCCTACAACATTTTGGAAGGACATGAAGGCGCATTAAGAGACTGCAAATGTGGGCTGCTCTAAACACTACCAGTACACTCGTCCTTGAGTCGCTGCGAACTCTACAGTCAAATATGCTCCAGACATGCCTGCACCGAGACAGTTCAAACATGTTCGCCACAACCCGGACGTTGCTCCACAGTTACAATCGTCATGATAATCATCATTATCATCATCATCATCATCATTGTCATCATCATCACATCATGATCATCATCACATTAATTAAAATTCGCCACCCCCTATGAACAATATGTTGATTGGGGTAAAAACATCAACTTTATCTTCATGAGAGATCAAAATTTGCCACCCCCTATGAACAATATGTTGATTGGGGTAAAAACATCAACTTTATCTTCATGAGAGATCAAAATTTGCCACCCCCTATGAACAATATGTTGATTGGGGTAAAAACATCAACTTTATCTTCACAAGGGATCAAAATTTGCCACCCCCTATGAACAATATGTTGATTGGGGATGATTGGGGAAATAACATCAACTTTATCGTCATAGCCACCTGAAGTCAAACGCGGCGCAACGTCAGGGTTGCAGCGAACATGTTTAAACTGGAAGGGCAAGAGCAAGTCAAACCATATTGAATCAAATCATGAGCAACCTTCTCGAAGAGGCCGACACCGTGGGACAACTGTTTTCACCCAGTCACATCCTACTGAGTACTCAGTCGGTGCGCCTGCAAGCTGCTTCTTGTCCAAATCTGACTGCGCTGCCATTGCTTGGTGCGGATGCGCGAACTGGACCTTCGACAATACACAAAATAGAGGAGACTAGCAGTTGGCACTTAAAAAAGTCAAAAAGTTGCTACATAATCCTCTTTCTCTATTGGGAAGAGTGCCCGCCCTAATCGAAAGGGACTTCAGGAGTGTACACTGTACACGACTGAAAAGCTGCAACTGCATGGCTTGCCTGGGAAGTTGTGCCCTCCCGGTCCATCTTCACAGCCACGACTTCACCATAGCGGGAGAAAACCTCAGGGAACAGCTCAATATCCTCAATGCAAAGACCTTTGTTATTGTCGGCACGTCATCTTGGCACATGTTGGCATATGTTGGCACCTTCCGCACGTCATCTTCTGTCAGCTGATACTCAAACTTCAGCCCATCCACTCGTACTGTCCTTAGGTGGCAGCCATCTGACAAGTGTGTATGCACGTGGATGCCCACAAATCAAAGGGCAAAGGAGCGTTTACTAACGTTGGGTGATTGGGAGTCACCATTCTATGGCTTGCGCTTGCACTGATTCTAGTGATGAGCATTTCTATACAGTATTTTGCAATTAATGATTGTATGCATACATTGGTACTCCGTTCCATTACTTTTACATACATGATATGATATATACAGAGTCCTGTCATATCATATCTTATTTATGCATATGTGACATGTGTGTATATATATGTGTGTGTATTACATATATATATATACACATATTACATATATATATATAATACATGTGTATATATATATATATATTACATAGTATATATATATTGCACATATATATATATATACACATATTGCATGTGTATATATATATATTACCTATATGTATATTGCGTCGCACAAGCCGCAGCTGCAGCTGAGTGCAGAATCCAACTGTTAGCTATCTGCTTCGCAGAATGAAACTGAACTTGTGAACCTTGCAGCACCATGATTTTTTTGTCTGAATCACGGAATAGGAGGGAATATATATATATATATATATACGTGCGTGCGTGCGTGCGTGCGTGCGTGCGTGCGTGCGTGCGTGGGTGGGTGTGTGTGTGTGTGAAATCCGCTATCACTCATGCGGACCTGAGTTTCTGTTAACAAGTTGATTCAAACAATCCATCAGATGCAGGGGCGTGCAGCACCTTTGGCATACTGCACGCAACGAAGCTATTGCCATTGGTGGGAAGGGGAGACTGATCACCTCCCTGTACCTGCAGAAGTTGGTTTTGAACTGTTGAACAAGCTGTCCATTTTCATGCGTATATGTTGCTAATTTGAGATTATCTCAGAAATCAGAGTTTCCCACTGCTTTCCCTACTCGACTGACCAGGATTTTGGACCTAGGAACCCTCAAGGCATGAACTACTTCATCACTATAAAGTTCCTCATTCGAGTAATGTTACTCAGTAACATGCTCCCATCAGCAGTGTGTAACGGGCACAGTGTCACTGACTTGTGACTGCCGTCCGCGTGTTTGGTGACACGCGTTGAATCGGTACCGGCCTTCCGGAAGAATAGTGGGGTACTGCAATACCTCGAAATCTGACGGGTATTAATTCCCGTGTGAATTGGCTTCAGGCCGAAATACATGAATCAAATACAATGCAAGATTTCACAAGATTTGGAATACGTCACAAGACAGCAGCAAGCCGTATGGCTGGAATTCTGAAAGACAGACACGAATTTATTACATTCTACACGTTCGGGCAACTCAGATCTGTTCTGTCATCATTTAGTTCTTTTGTTTTTCACCTTTCCTCTGTATCTGTTTGAGCCATGTCGAAATCTGATATTCCAGCTGCAGTACCAAAGTCGCGATGTCCACCTAGTCCTACTCCTCCACCATCCTGGATCACACCTGTAAGTCGCCAAAGTCGTCCTACAGTTCTTGAATTTACAGGACAATGCGGACAATATCGAATTGAAGGATCCAACATTCAAGAGACACGGGACTTACTCCAGACTGTTCTTCATACGGAGTCTCAACATGTTCAACATGTTCAACACATGCAGTTTCAACAAATGTTGACTTTGTCACAAAATATGATGTTCTCCAATGCTCTTGGCATTCAACCCAGCTCATTTCGTGCACCAATTGTTGATCGTGATGATCGAATGGACGGATCGAACGTAGTTTCTGGATTGGGCTCTCATTCTGCACTGCCCTCAGACACTGTGGAACGTCAGAACCGTAGCTCTCAAGTTGCACTGCCCTTAGTCACTGATGATCGTCAAAATCAGATCACATCAAATGACCGAGTGGATCGAGTACGTCCCACTGTTACAGCTGATTTACCAAGCGATGGAACGGTCCGGGTGCCTCTGACTTCTGAATCAGATCAACGGGATCGAGTTCGGGCATCAATGTTTATAGACCAGCCGTCAGTCTCAGTTGCTCCCATTCCACGTTGGGGATTGTTCGTACATTGTTTACATGACCATCATGGACACAAGAAGACCTTCACTAGTGATCGAAGACTACCCGGACCTAGACCAAAGGTTACGACTCGCATTGGACGGCCTCCTTTGACTGTTGAAATTATTGAATTTTTACACCCTCAGAGTGATCAGATTTCTTTTTGGACGCTACCCACCACTGCCACATTTTGCTGTGATTGTATTACTTTAGAACAACCTGAGAAATCACCTTGGTGGTTCCTATATCAGTGCATGGGCCGCATTCGTGAAGAACTCTATCAAGATCCTTACCGTATCAAGAATGCATATGAAACTGGTGCACTCACTTTGGCAGTTGACAAATGGACGCCATCTTTGACATATTTTCAGCAACAATACTCTTTTCGAACTATTGACTCGATTGCGCTGTTAAAACAACAACTTATGACTGACCATATGCAGATCCTCAAAGATGAGTATTCCGCCAAGTTTGAAAAATTCTCTTTAATCATCCATTCCGCACTCGAAGTATTGATCTCTACTCTCCTTCTACATTCTGAAGTTTGGGCTTTCGTGGAGTGCATCGACTTACTCTTTGATCACCAGAATCAGTCTCTTGTGGCCATTGTCGCTCGCTTGGAACCAGTCGTTTTTACACAAGAACCAGAAATTCCTGCTGCAGAATACATATGTTACGCACACAACACGAATCCACAATCTGCTGCAGACAGTTTGTTCCATGGGTATATCAGACCATCATCCACTGACCCACAAGACGAAACATGGATCCCGGCATTGACCTTTTTCTGTCGTGGCGTTACTGTGGCAAGACCTGTTATGACCAGATCAGTGATGCTCACAACCTTGAGAAAGGCACAGAAATATTCCAATTTTACCACTGATCGTCCTACATGTTTGCTCGGTATGTCTAAATCAAGACAACCACATGTGACCAACGTTCTCGGCGGTGTTATTGGAGAACATGCTTGTACACACTATTTTGACAGTGTACATGGACGTGACAAACGTTGGGGTCTTCGTTCTCATTTGAGTCCGCTTAGCCATTTAGCTTGTATCATCCCATCATCATGATCAATGATCATGGAAGTCACACAATTTTGTTGCGCTCCATAGATCAAAAGCTGCGCTCTGTTGTATCACTTTTTGAGCGGTTTCATTTATCAAGCCATCTCTTCATGAGTCATTTCAGATTTCGTCCAAGTCACCTTTTTGTGAGTTACAGTCACATACGTTTGATGTTTTTCCCAGTGATGATTTCGAAATCAAGAGTATTTACATTTTGTTAAGTCTAATTCAGCTGCTGTTTTTCTTGAGTACTACAATTTGACTTGCATCAAAATTGTCTGGTTCTGTTCAATTTTTCATTACTGTTTTCCATGATTGGTATAATTCACAGTGGATCAAACCCGTCAGTAAGTCGTTCTTCAATCCGTTTGTGATCAGTATTTGGACAGATGCAGTCTCAACGCCGAGATTCTCGATCCAGATCTCGACATCGCAGTCGTGGACATCGTCGACACGAGTCTAAGGAATACCGTGATCGAAGACGACCGCTGTCCCGGACCCAAGACCTCAGTCGTGCACGATCACCAGACTTACCTGATTCGTGGCAATCCACACGAACCCATTATGACACAAAGACGGAGTATGGATTGACTTTTCCACGACATGTTGAGTCGACCAATTTTTCACGAAAGAACAATACAGCTGGCATTCCTATTTCTGATGTTAAGCTTGTCGACATTGTGTCCAACGGTCTTGAAAATTGGGCTTTGCGCCTTGTTGCCAATGGTAGGTATGTCGCATGTGAGATGTTTCGAAATCGCCTTGAAGCCACATTTTCTACCATGCTTTTTCGTGAACTCTACCGACAAAAAGACAATGTTGATTTTGCGAAGCTCATCCAGCATTTGTCTTCAGAACCAGGTGATTCTCAAAATTGGAAATCCAAGCTTTCAGGAATTGAGGCGTTGATTCAACAGACTGTTGATTTGTTCAAGACTTTGGCACCCAAAGATTCCAATCAATCATTGTTAGAAGAACTGGAAAGAATGAAGAAAGAGAACGCAGCTCTTCGTGCCAACCAAAGTCAAGTTCCTACTCAGGAAGGATCACAGACTCAGAACACTGAGGAACCACCAGGCGGAACACTCCCATCCATGTTTCGTCAATCAGCAACAGAGGAACTCAGACGCCAAAAAAGTCAGTCGATGCCAAGTATGCCGGGAGCCCAAGATGACCGTTCTCCACTCTCACAATATCGACGTGGACAAAACGCACCCATCTTAGGCACACACACACCCAAACATACCATGACTGAACTCGACAAGTGGATCAAGAACAATGTTCCTAAGACGGAACAAGTCAATGTTGATGCCATGTTGAAGACCATTACTGACGAATACAATCAGTTTCCAGCCTCTGAAAGACCAAATTTAGAATCGATTCTTTCAGATTGGGGTCTCCCCAGTACAGTACTGGCCAAAACAAAGGCGGAATACAATTTGAAGGTTTTGGCCGCCGTTCAATTCCTTCGAAACTGACATTTTGGATTACAAACCAGTGAAGTAAGTCCTCCATCATCATGGGGGCAGCCATTTCGCAAGTATTCCAAGCATATGCATGGTGCAGAGACAACGAAGCTTGCCTCACATTTTCAGTCGCTGTGGTTTGCTAGCATCCAATTCATGATTTACACTTTGCAATTTTCTCCAGCTTTACCATGGCATGTACAGGAACGGATCATGTGGATACTTAGTGTTTGGACCATTTTTGCTTACATCATTCGACCTTTTTCAGCCAAAAATCGACGTCTTCTGACTATTTTGCGGCAGTGCGAACTTCCAGAAATTTTGTCATGGACATGGTGGAACAGGTCGAGCATCGTGTACTGTCGTTTACATTTTCGAAATGCTCAGTTTTACATTGGCTCCACTGAACAAACCATGTTTTCGAGAGAACAGAGTCGGTTACGAAAATACCGACAGTTAAAGAAAGACCAACTTGCTTACTACGAACCAGCTTTGAAGGCCTGGTCAGCACAACGCAACTATTTTCAATTTCTTGGTTTTCCTTTACTCCAGACTGACGTTGACAAGCTTCTTGCAGTTGAAACAGCATGCCAAAGGACTTTTCGCCCCATTTACAATTGGCCTTGGATCAATCCTTTGATGAAACAACTTCGGATTGGTAAGCAACAATTCGGACCTTCAACTTTGAAGACCAGTACTCAAGGGATGAAATTTGTGAAACGATTTCGCAAACGCAGTCTGCAAACTGCTCAATGCATTCTTAGTCGTCGGATTACGGATACTACAAGTTTGTACATTTTCCTGTATTCCCTTGGTTCTGACACGCATGACAAGTTCATTTGTTCTCGCATTCTACGTTCGAAGTTGTCAAATGTGCAGTTGATTTTCTTGTTATGGCGCTTGAGCCACCATATGTCGGAACCTTTTCGGACCAGAGCACAATCTCAATTGCGTTATATTTTCAAATTCTATGCTACTGAATCGCCACCAGCGAATATACCCATGCAGTTACAGGTTTTGTCGGATACAATGGAACGTCGATTTCGACAATGGTTGCTGGGATTCACTCACCATCATCGCTGTAACTTTCCCATTTTTCACAAAGTTCGTGCACCGTTTGTGACAGTGAAAAATCGAACTTTAGCTCAATATTTGTACAATTTTCGTTCTTTTCTAAAGTTGTGGACACCTCAGTTTCGCCCTCAGTGTGCTTGTCAGTTGTTTCCTCTTCATGTTCAACACAATCCACGGAAAACAGATCATATTTCATCCTTCGCCTCGGAATGTTTTCCACTGGATCCTATTCTGACTGCACATTTGGAAGATGAAGTTACACCTACGTGGACACAATTTTTCCATCAAAACACCTTCCAATTTGAAAAATGGTTACGACGTTGGAAACTTCGCCGAGATCTGATCCAGTATTGGCAGGCTTTTCTACAAGACTGTTGGAATTTGCAACTTGATTCAGGTCAGTTGTACACTCAAAAACGTATTCGACAGGCTCGACAAAGGATCGACGGACTTATTGCTTCCCCAGCAGATCATTTTCCATCGTCTCTCACCTTACATTGTCCTGTCCAGTGGCACAATTTGCTGTGTAAGACATTTCAAGACACCTCTGTTTTTCATCTTTGTAATGTTGATTCAGCCACTATTCTGAAGAATATTCAGTATGATCTTCCTGGATGGATCACTGACAGATATCCTTGGGCTTTCGATTTTCATTTATCATTAAGCAAGGCGTATATTCTTCCAAAACCTTCACGCTCGTTTATGAAAGCACGACCCATCGTTAATTACAGTCGATCTTGGCCAAAACAGATGGGTTATATTTTGTCTGTGGTGTTGCAAGATATTTTGAAAGTTGTTTATCCATCCTTACTTCGCTACAGTGATATCAACAAGGTGATGAACGAAATCAAATGCTTTTTCCAAATTGATCATGGTGCTGACCTTCTTCTCTTTCAGACTGATATTGCTGGTTTCTACAACCAAGTTGAACATGACCGCATTCTCGGATCTATTGAATTCGCCATTCATCAATATATTTTACAACATGGACAGACCTTCGATTCTGTACTTCAAGCACACGTATATCAACATGAACGCACCCTGCGAGTTTTTAGAGGTCAATGGCGACAACACACCAAGATGTATCGTGATATTCGCTTGGGCGACATTCTACCTATTTGTAGCTTTCTGTTGAATCACAGTTTTTTCACCGTCGGAATGTCTACATTTTTACAAAAACGTGGTGCCAGCATGGGTAGTCAATGGGCACCTATTTTCTGTGCAGCTGTCGCACTCATGCGAGAACATACTTTTCTGTCCTGTTTTCGTCAATTTACCAACAATTCCACTTTTCATCATCGTTACGTTGACAATCGAGTGATGCTACTTCCTGTGGGACACTGGAACTCAGAAATGCAGTTATTTTGGAATCTTTCATTCTATTCACCTCCCATTCTACTTGAACAAGTTGAAGGATCTGAATTGTTAGGATACAACGCTGACGTGTTACAGCGTACAACTACATATCTTCAACCTGTGGACAAAGCGTTTCGTTCAACAAGGAGTTCAAGTACGACTAAGGCACTCACGTCCGGAGCTCTGGCCAGAATTCGTCTCATTTTGCAGAATACATGGCCCAGTTCTCTACAAATACCTCAAATTCAAGATTTTCTGTCCATTTGGTCTCGACGACAACGTGATGTATTGTCTTCTACTTTGAGAAGTCAGATTATCAAATTGGTACGCTCACGTCATCCACAACTTGATCCTGATTCTCTTTTTCACTTTGACTAGATACCATGACAGGAAACGCAGACAAAACAGTTGCTGGATTTCGCATTGTCGTGTTTTGTCGTCATTCGCCATCACTTTCGTGAAGTCATTTGATGTTGGACATTTTCATCAATGGGCATTCTTTGACGTTTTTCATCTGAAGTTCGATAACGTCACACTGTTTTCTTCTTTTTCATTTACCTTTTCAGTTATGTTCATGTTGTGTTTTTCTCAACTCAGTTGTTTTCATCATACTTTTGCCGATTGCGAACCTTGACTTTGACAGTTCGAATCACACGTTTTTGAATTTTGAAGAGTATATTTAAGCTCAAACTCAAACCAATCTATCTCCTTCTTACGATGCCTTCGTTGCGTGAACTTAGCAATACTTTGGAACAGTGGTCCCTTCGGAAACGTCTCACCGATCGCTCCAGATCGCCAGTTCGGGAACCCTATATTTGTGATGGTCAGACACGTTCGAGTATCAAGAACGCTTCAGTTGAGTCTCGTTTCGAAAATGAAAGTGAACGATCCAGATCGCAAGTCCGGGAGCCCTATAGTTATGATGGTCAGACACGCTCGAGTATCAAGAACGTTTTGATCGAACCACTTTCTGAAAATGCAAGTTCTACATCACATCGACGTCAAGATCGGTCTTTCACTGCAGCTGATGGTTCATCTGTTCAGTCCTCGTTCCCTTCAACCGATCGTTTTCAGAAGAGTCGCTCTCCAACGGGAACGCAGTCCGGACCCCTATTCTGTCCCAAGGAGACCATTTGATTTACAGTGAACCTTTCCCATATGTTGTACAAGAATTTCTAGGACATGTATATATTGCAAACTGATACTGCGATGAAAAACAGCGTTCACCAGCAGCTGCCTCCCCTGCCGGGGGGGCCATTGTGTGTGTGAAATCCGCTATCACTCATGCGGACCTGAGTTTCTGTTAACAAGTTGATTCAAACAATCCATCAGATGCAGGGGCGTGCAGCACCTTTGGCATACTGCACGCAACGAAGCTATTGCCATTGGTGGGAAGGGGAGACTGATCACCTCCCTGTACCTGCAGAAATTTGGTTTTGAACTGTTGAACAAGCTGTCCATTTTCATGCGTATATGTTGCTAATTTGAGATTATCTCAGAAATCAGAGTTTCCCACTGCTTTCCCTACTCGACTGACCAGGATTTTGGACCTAGGAACCCTCAAGGCATGAACTACTTCATCACTATAAAGTTCCTCATTCGAGTAATGTTACTCAGTAACATGCTCCCATCAGCAGTGTGTGTGTGTGTGGTGTACGCATGTATGCATGGATGTATGTATGTAATATATATATATATATGTGTGTGTGTGTATATGTATATGTATATGTATATGTGTATGTGTATGTGTATATGTATATATGTATGTGTGTATGTGTATGTGTATATATGTATGTGCGTATGTGTATGTATGTGTGTATGTGTGTATGTGTATATATATATTATATTATATTATATTATATATATAGCGTGTGTGTGTGTGCATGTGTGTGTGTATGTGTTTTCAGCTTTCGTTTCAACTTCAGGGAGATGAAACGTCTTGCTCTTGACTCCGCGAAAGCTCTGCCAAGTTACAACCATTGTGTAACCATTGGTGGGTGATTTGGCCACCTCGGGATCTATGGTTAAGCAAGCACATTCCAGCTTCCGAAAGTCCGGGCTGTTTGAATTTTGCTTTGCCGCGGCAAGGCTTGGCCATGCGGGAGAAAAAAAGTAGGCAGAATAGGGATTTGGCTTGTCTGAGGCTTCTTTGATACTAACCTGCGCTTTGTGGTGCAAGCTGTTAGTTGCCATCGGTTCAATGCAACTTGGCCCCTTGCGGCATTGGCAGACTGGGCATGCCAGGCACATGGGGCGGCATTGGAGGCATCATAGACTGATATTGCCACCTGCAGCTGGGTGCAGAATGCAAGTGCTGTGCATCTTACCATGCGCACTCACCGACTTACAGATTTGCTCCTCCCATCTTCTCCCTGAATTTTCCAAACATAATTTTCCTCCTCCAGGTCTAGTGCATCTAAGAATGAGACTGCATCATCGCCGCAGCATGCAAATTTTGCCTGTTGTCGCCACGTCCAAGTTTTCATTCGCAGGTGTTTTGTTTATGTGGACTCATGTCATGCAGGCACGTGGCAAACACTCTTGACTGTGACGTCGCTATTGGCAAGTGCAACTTTTTTGAAATATATATTGTTTGCCACTTCAAAGCTTAGAAATTAAAACCCCACTTGGGATGCAAAAATCCGAGAGAGTTCCAAATCCAGCAATGCAATCTGCGGTGCTGATCGTGGCCCATAGGCGCTTGTTCCATCTTGATGGTGCCAGTGCCTGCAAAGCACAAGCAATTCCAGCAAAAACATAATGAACGTTTTAAGAGCTCCCAAGCTTTTATCACAGTGCTTACGTGTATGACACAATAATTACATAACATCACTGATACAAGTAGCAACACTGGCCTGGCGACCACGTGGCCCACGCAATACAAATAAGGGCTCCAGGGAGCACCTTGACACCCCTTGGGCCGTTAGGTTTTTGAACCAAATAGGCTTCAGCAAGGTAGCAGGCATATGATACGGCATATGATACGGCATATGTCATGTCTGCATATGTTTCTTTTGAAGCAGGAGAGTCACAGGCTTCGAAACATTAAGATCATAAATTAAGGGAACTGCCGAATCGTGCATCTATCTCAATGATCTCAATGACAAGCACTTCAACAAAGGAAAAAACATGTGAATGAAAAAGATGAAAAAGGCACTTCAGAATAACAAAAACAATCAACACTGCACAGCCTCCAGAAGGGCCATCCAGACATCAGCACTGAAAGTGCCTGCGCCGGGGACTCTGACTCTAACATGCCAAAACTCACTATGAAATGGAGTCGTACTGATTCGTGCTGACTATTGATATTAGAGTGGATGTGCAACACGGCTCGCGAAATCGAAGCAGCCACTCAGCCACTCAGCCACTCTCCCAGAGTGGCTGGACCAGCCACTCAGCCACTCAGCCACTCTCCCAGAGCGGCTGGACCAGCCACTCTTACCAGAGCGTCTGAGTGGCTGAGTGACTGTGGCAGAGTGGCTGGAGCAGCCACTCCAGCCACTCTTACCAGCCACTCTCGCGGCTGGACCAGCCACTCTTACCAGAGGTCTGCCAGAGTGGCTGCTCCAGCCACTCTGCCACTCTGCCAGAGTGGCTTGGTGCAAGCCGCTCAGCCACTCAGCCACTCTGCCAGAGCGGCTGGACCAGCCACTCAGCCACTCAGTCACTCTGAGTGACTGAGTGGCTGAGTGGCTGGCTCCAGCCACTCTGGCAGAGCGGCTGAGTGGCTGAGCGGCTGCACCAAGCCACTCTGGCAGAATGTCTCAGTGGGTGAATAGCTAGTGCAGCTTAGCCAATGGACACGAAGCAGTATTACCAAGACCTTTCTTAGGTCTGGGTAATCTTTTAAATGAGGTTTGAAGCTAATTTACGGTTTTTTCCTTTATCTTGTAGGGAACGGGGGCATATATTTTTATGGATTGAATGGGATTTTATGCAAACATTTCTGTTAAAGTGTTGCCAGAAAGAAGTTACAGTATGTGTAACCTAGTCAAAAGAGTGTAAGCAGTACTATCTAGATTTAATTTTTGTTAGGTGTGTTTTTGTTTTAGTGAGGTGTGAAGTTAATTTAGGGTTTCTTCCTTTATCTTCTTAGGTCTGGGTAGTTTTTTGAGTGGGGTTTTATGTTAATTTCGGGTTTCTTCCTTTATCTTGTAGGGAACGGGGGCATATATTCTTATGGATTGAATGGAATTTTATGCAAACACCTGTGTTGAAGGGTTGTGAGAAAGAAGTGATGTGTAGCTTATCCAATAGAGTGTAAGCAGCATTACCCAGACCTATTTTTTCTTATGTCTGGGAAGTTTTTTTGAGTGGGGTTTTATATTAATTTCGGGTGTCTTCCTTTATCTTGTAGGGAACGGGGGTATATATTCTTATGGATTGAATGGATTTTTATGCAAACATCTGTGTCAAAGGATTGTAAGAAAGAAGTCATGTGTAGCTTAGCTAATAGAGTGTAAGCAGCATTACCCAGACCTGTTTTTTGTTAGGTCTGGGTAGTTTTTTGAGTGAGGTTTTATGTTAATTTCGGGTGTCTTCCTTTATCTTGTAGGGAACGGGGGCATATATTCTTATGGATTGAATGGAATTTTATGCAAACACCTGTGTTAAAGGATTGTAAGAAAGAAGTCATGTGTAGCTTATCCAACAGAGTGTAAGCAGCATTACCCAGACCTATTTTTTCTTATGTCTGGGAAGTTTTTTGTTTCGGGTTTCTTCCTTTATCTTGTAGGGAACGGGGGCATATATTCTTATGGATTGAATGGAATTTTATGCAAACACCTGTGTTGAAGGGTTGTGAGAAAGAAGTGATGTGTAGCTTATCCAATAGAGTGTAAGCAGCATTACCCAGACCTAATTTTTCTTATGTCTGGGTAGTTTTTTTGAGTGGGGTTTTATATTAATTTCGGGTGTCTTCCTTTATCTTGTAGGGAACGGGGGTATATATTCTTATGGATTGAATGGATTTTTATGCAAACATCTGTGTCAAAGGATTGTAAGAAAGAAGTCATGTGTAGCTTAGCTAATAGAGTGTAAGCAGCATTACCCAGACCTGTTTTTTCTTAGGTCTGGGTAGTTTTTTGAGTGAGGTGTTATGTTAATTTCGGGTGTCTTCCTTTATCTTGTAGGGAACGGGGGCATATATTCTTATGGATTGAATGGAATTTTATGCAAACACCTGTGTTAAAGGATTGTAAGAAAGAAGTCATGTGTAGCTTATCCAATAGAGTGTAAGCAGCATTACCCAGACCTATTTTTTCTTATGTCTGGGAAGTTTTTTGAGTGGGGTTTTATGTTAATTTCGGGTTTCTTCCTTTATCTTGTAGGGAACGGGGGTATATATTATGGATTGAATGGAATTTTATGCAAACATCTGTGTTAAAGGGTTGTGAGAAAGAAGCCATGTGCAGCTTAGCCAATAGAGTGTAAGCAGCGTTACCCAGACCTAATTTTTCTTAGGTCTGGGTAGTTTTTTGAGTGGGGTTTTATGTTAATTTCGGGTTTCTTCCTTTATCTTGTAGGGAACGGGAGCATATATTCTTATGAATTGAATGAAATTTTATGCAAACATCTGTGTTAAAGGGTTGTGAGAAAGAAGTCATGTGCAGCTTAGACAATAGAGTGTAAGCAGCGTTACCCAGACCTAATTTTTCTTAGGTCTGGGTAGTTTTTTGAGTGAGGTTTTATGTTAATTTCGGGTGTCTTCCTTTATCTTGTAGGGAACGGGGGCATATATTCTTATGAATTGAATGGAATTTTATGCAAACACCTGTGTTAAAGGATTGTAAGAAAGAAGTCATGTGTAGCTTATCCAATAGTGTGCAAGCAGCGTTACCCAGACCTAATTTTTCTTATGTCTGGGAAGTTTTTTGAGTGGGGTTTTATGTTAATTTCGGGTTTCTTCCTTTATCTTGTAGGGAACGGGGGCATATATTATGGATTGAATGGAATTTTATGCAAACATCTGTGTTAAAGGGTTGTGAGAAAGAAGCCATGTGCAACCTAGTCAATAGAGTGTAAGCAGTATTATCCAGATGTAATTTTTCTTAGGTCTGGCTAATTGTTTAAGTGAAGTTTGAAGCTAATTTAGGGTTCCTTCCTTTATCTTGTAGGGAACGGGGGTATATATTCTTATGAATTGAATGGAATTTTATGCAAACATCTGTGTTAAAGGATTGTAAGAAAGAAGTCATGTGTAGCTTATCCAATAGAGTGCAAGCAGCATTACCCAGACCTAATTTTTCTTAGGTCTGGGTAGTTTTTTGATTGGGGTTTTATGCTAATTTCGGGTTTCTTCCTTTATCTTGTAGGGAACGGGAGCATATATTCTTATGAATTGAATGGAATTTTATGCAAACACCTGTGTTAAAGGGTTGTGAGAAAGAAGTGATGTGTAGCTTATCCAATAGAGTGTAAGCAGCATTACCCAGACCTAATTTGTCTTAGGTCTGGGTAGTTTTTTGAGTGGGGTTTTATGTTAATTTCGGGTTTCTTCCTTTATCTTGTAGGGAACGGGAGCATATATTCTTATGGATTGAATGGAATTTTATGCAAACATCTGTGTTAAAGGGTTGTGAGAAAGAAGCCATGTGCAGCTTAGCCAATAGAGTGTAAGCAGCGTTACCCAGACCTAATTTTTCTTAGGTCTGGGTAGTTTTTTGAGTGGGGTTTTATGTTAATTTCGGGTTTCTTCCTTTATCTTGTAGGGAACGGGAGCATATATTCTTATGAATTGAATGAAATTTTATGCAAACATCTGTGTTAAAGGGTTGTGAGAAAGAAGTCATGTGCAGCTTAGCCAATAGAGTGTAAGCAGCGTTACACAGACCTAATTTTTCTTAGGTCTGGGTAGTTTTTTGAGTGAGGTTTTATGTTAATTTCGGGTGTCTTCCTTTATCTTGTAGGGAACGGGGGCATATATTCTTATGAATTGAATGGAATTTTATGCAAACACCTGTGTTAAAGGATTGTAAGAAAGAAGTCATGTGTAGCTTATCCAATAGTGTGCAAGCAGCGTTACCCAGACCTAATTTTTCTTATGTCTGGGTAGTTTTTTGAGTGGGGTTTTATGTTAATTTCGGGTTTCTTCCTTTATCTTGTAGGGAACGGGGGCATATATTATGGATTGAATGGAATTTTATGCAAACATCTGTGTTAAAGGGTTGTGAGAAAGAAGCCATGTGCAACCTAGTCAATAGAGTGTAAGCAGTATTATCCAGATGTAATTTTTCCTAGGTCTGGCTAATTTTTTAAGGGGTCTCTTCCTTTATCTTGTAGGGAACGGGGGTATATATTCTTATGGATTGAATGGAATTTTATGCAAACATCTGTGTTAAAGGATTGTAAGAAAGAAGTCATGTGTAGCTTAGCTAATAGAGTGCAAGCAGCATTACCCAGACCTAATTTTTTCTTAGGTCTGGGTAGTTTTTTGAGTGAGGTTTTATGTTAATTTCGGGTGTCTTCCTTTATCTTGTAGGGACCTAACACTACATACAAATAACTAACATTATCGCGAAACCGAGCCAGCAAAGAATATAAATTCAGATGCAATGTGTGCAGAGAATTTTGTACGGGGCTTAAGTTACGTATGTATCCCAAAAAAACTGTTCCATACAGCCACTCAGCCACTCAGCCACTCTGCCAGAGGAGCTGAACCAGCCACTCAGCCACTCTGCCAGAGTGGCTGGACCAGCCACTCAGCCACTCAGAGTGGCCGGACCAGCCACTCAGCCATTCAGCCACTCTCCCAGAGTGGCTGGACCAGCCACTCAGCCACTCAGCCACTCTGCCAGAGTGGCTGGACCAGCCACTCAGCCACTCAGCCACTCAGCCACTCAGCCACTCTCCCAGAGTGGCTGGGCCAGCCACTCAGCCACTCAGCCACTCTGCCAGAGTGGCTGGGACCAGCCACCAGCCACTCAGCCACTCAGCCACTCTCACTCAGAGTGGCTGGACCAGCCACTCAGCCATTCAGCCACTCTCCCAGAGTGGCCGGACCAGCCACTCAGCCACTCAGCCACTCTGCCAGAGTGGCTGGACCAGCCACTCAGCCACTCAGCCACTCAGCCACTCTCCCAGAGTGGCTGGACCAGCCACTCAGCCACTCAGCCACTCTCCCAGAGTGGCTGGGCCAGCCACTCAGCCACTCAGCCACTCTCCCAGAGTGGCTGGACCAGCCACTCAGCCACTCAGCCACTCTCCACTCAGCCAGAGTGGTGGGCAGCCACTCAGCCACTCAGCCACTCTCCCAGAGTGGCTGGACCAGCCACTCAGCCACGGCCAGAGTGGCTGGTCCAGCCACTCTTCCAGAGTCAGCTGAGTGGCTGAGTGGCTGGGGTGATAATTTCCGCCATTGCGCGTTCAATCGTTTTACTATTGCTGTATCGCATCGTACTACGCGGACTTTTTTTTGCAAGACTTTGGAGCTTGCGGTGGACTCGGCTTCTCATGATTTCTCACGGCTTCTCGATACTTGCGACTTCAGAATCTCGTGCACCGAGCAGTGGCGATGGCTGTCAGAGCTTAGGGCGATGGCCAAGCCGCGCCACCATCAGAGACTCGTGAAACTCCAAGTTCTCGAACTGGGTTGAGACCGAGGAGAGAATTCTTGTTGTGCCCGACATCCCCTGGCCAATCTCTCATAGCAAATGCTGACTGTATCTACTCTACCTGTGAGATGCCTCTGGCTGAACCATGGAGTGGCAACTCAAAGTCTCTCGCGATGACACCAGCTCACCACTCACCATGACTCAATCTTCGGTTCAGGCGATGCTCGGGTAGCAGAATGCATCACCCATGAGGCTGCACTTCATCGTGGCTTGGTTCACAAACTTCTGTCAAACAGAAATCTTCTGGATCATCTGCAACTGCCGTGATCAGCTTGCACTCCACGCATACATCCTAGGCATTTCCAAAAACGCGTTAGCAAGAATTGCGGAGAGCAACCCGCAACAACGCACAGCAATGTGTCCCCGTTTCTACGAACGGCCTCGTTTCGGTTCTATTGTGACAGTTGTGACAGAAGGACAACGGAGAGAATCAGGCTGAACGGATGAATGCAAAATGGTCTGCTTGGATTGACCGACCAGAGCAGTTTGCTGACACTAAAAAACGACGGCTAAGCCACTGCGGTTGCTTAGAACATTCCGATTCATTCAGAGCGGCCAGAACATGTTCATGCAAACGAGCACGTTTAGCGTCGCTGCTTGCAAAAAGGCGCTCGGGAGCAGCAAGAAGAGCGACGGAATTCCCGGAGCAAAGCTCCATACCTGGACGGTCTATGACAAAATGTTGCAAGGACCGAACACATGGAAAGGAAAAACGTGAAGTACACCATACAGTGTATATAGATAGTTATATAGTTATGTACATAAATTGAAATATGGTTCAACGTAGAGTGTGATCACAAACGCAACATTCTGCAAAGCCACGTGAGTCGTCTGGACAAATTTCTTGCAAAGGGCGTTCTGGCTTGCTGAGGCGTTCACGGAAAACCTGGCATCACCAAATAGCAAAGCTCTCGAGTCTTTTGCAATCAGTTAGAATGGATTAGAATATGTTGAAATGCATTTAATTGGCATATTTTGGCAATCCACATGACAGGATTCACTGTAGCGATGTCGCCTTGGCACATTGCATCCTTTGCAAATTCAAAAGTTCCGTGCCTTCATGATAGTAAAGTAGTGGTTGGGCAAACCTGACAATCCACTGAGACTGGCTATTTCGCTCAGCAAGTTACCACTTGCAAACTCGTACTGTGTCTTCCCCTCCCTCTCTCTCTCTCTCTCTCTCATTGAGCCGCTATTGGATCTTTTGGTTTATCATGTTCGACCAGCAATAGCACGCGAAGCTGTTAAGCCCGCCGCGCTCATGCCATCGCTGCGTGCATATCTCTCCCGCGCGATGGTGTTGAACAAGCGTCATGAACAAGGCCAACTCATCCGCCTATCATGGAAAAATACGGAAACTGTCCAGTAACAGCAATAACACTGTTTTCATGAGTCCATGAGACAGAAAGAGATGGAAAAAATGAAAGTGACACAATCGGTGTGACGCCCATGTTCACTGGAAAGAAAGGCACGCAGCACAGCATTGAGGCATCATTTCTCGGGCCCATCTTGTATCATGCTGTTTCAAGGATTTTGCACATCATGTTGCATGCTTGGACAGCTGGCCCAAACATCAACTCATCTAGTTTTTGGTCATCACATACAGTCCGTTGGTGACACAAGGGAGACCACCTACATCCACCTACCTCTCTTTCCTTTTTTCATCCAAATTCTCGGGGTTGTCCTGACATGTCCAGACACTTCCACCACTGGCCTCAATCGAGTCCCATGCACCATCCCTGAACTCACGGTCAAGGGTCCGGATGAATTTACCAACCTGAATCTAAAGGTTGACGATTGCACCAGGTGCTGTCACAAGTCGCAAAAAGGGTGACTGTTTGTTTGGCAGATACTCCGAAAATAAAGAAAGATTGGAAAAACTAGCTGAACAGAACACGCACGGTCCCGCATGGTGGCAAAATGTGGCAAACATGGACTTCAGTCAAGTTGCACTAGGATCGCTGAGGAGAGCTGCATCACTCAACTGTGTGCGGAAGCCTTGAAGAGCGTGAGCAGCTTGAGCATATGCATCCTGAAATCTCAGGAATGCATTCGCTCCGCGATGTGTTGCACAAAGCCCTGGACAAACAAACAATGAAAGCACTTTGAGTATCTTTGAGTATGCATTTGCAGCAAGTGACTCAGCTGGCTTTCCTCGGATCCCGCTGCATACAAACAAACAAGCATACAAAAAATGATGAAAAGGATTGAAAAGGTATGAACAGGCTGATCAAATTGATCAAAGCAAAGAACAACACTTCAGAGGATTCAAAATCTATCATACAAATCTGCACAGAATACAAATGTACAGCAGATACATCAGTATACTCTCATTATACGATAGAATTTACATGAAATTGCTATAGTATATTATAGTATACTCAAGTTTACTATATATATATATAATTATATACTTTTTCTCAAGTTGGAGGTGTCAGCCACGAATACTGCGTCGAGGATCTTCTCACCCAGGTGGTAAAGGCAGGCACCGCAGTTCGCCCAGGCCTGCTCAAATCTCACTCTTGGGGGCACACGATGATACAATATGACACATTGTGTGGCACACATTACATTGTGTGGCACACATTACATTGTGTGGCACACATTATGTGGCACACATGCACGTCGAAATCTTAGAAATAGGCGTTGACAAATATATGTGTCGCACCGAAGTTTGGATGGGTTCCGCTTGGCATCTTAGCAATTCTCATCAGCTGCCAGGGCTGCCAGTCTCACCAGTGTGAAAAAGCCTGCCTTCCAGTTGAGGCAATTTGACTCGCATTCGGGGGCTTCTAACAACAGCTTGTCATACCTCGCATTTTATGTTTTCAGCTGGGCTCGTGGAACTGTTCAACCCTGTTCAACCTGGATCACAACTGCAGCATTTTGATAGCAATCGGTTCAAAGAAACTTTGAACCAATGGTCTTCAACTGTGTAACTAATATTCTGGCATATTCTGGCATATTCTGGCCATATTTGGCACACCCGACCTGAGACCCATCTATATATGTCATGGTGCTAGGTGTCACCATGCTCATTCTCCGCGTCTTGGATTCTCCTTACATGATGAATGCTTCTTAGATGCCACTCCAGTCGCCCAAGTCTTTCTGTGCATGATGGCTTTTGGGGCTTCGGGCGATCTGGGTCCTGAAGCATTTTTGGTAGGATCAGTAAGCAGTGATTCAATTGCGAGTGGGATCGCGCAACTTGAGGGTTGCATCAGGAAGCACCATGCTTTCCATTGCGTTTCTCTGTGTTTCTGCCTGTTCCACATGTTGGGTCTGCGTTCCATAATATGGGGCGTTGCTATGCACTCAGTCCTCGCAGGGATATCCCTGCGCCACCGAAAGGCGCTGGATGTCTTCACAAAGTTTTTCTTCAAGCCCTCGCTTTCTCATGAATCTATCAACCTGGCAAAAAAAAAGACGACAGAGCATGGATTTCATTAATCAAGTACAGTACTTGATGTTACGCGCGTTCACGTTGCCAAATTTCCAGGTGCAAATCTTGTCCAATGTTGTCCATGCCCATGCCTGTTGTTTTCGCCGCACTCCGCTGCAGCTACCTTCTACTCATCTTCTCCGACAACCAGCGGGATCACGGCCAACTGCTCATCTTCACACAGCCGCACAAAGCAGGTTTCGGCCAAATGGCTGCATGCATCAAATGCGTATCAATGCCTTACTAAGTAGCTGGTGACGGACAAACTTTGGATCTTCTTACTGCAAAATCCATAGATGTACAAAGTACGTGATACATGCACTTCAAACAATTTGGTCAATTCTTGAAAGTGCCACCAACTTACAGACCTTTTCACACGAGCTCGCCACCAGATTGAGACGTACTTCTGAAATCTGCACGTGCGCGTGGGCTTCGAGAGCGTTCAGGCCGACCAAAAGGAACAGCAGCGTGACCCGTGGGACCCAGCCAATTTTGATTCATGGGAGTCTGAGGTCCCTGACCTTGAAAGTGTTGAAAGGTTGGCAACGTGCCAGGCATCTGTTGAAAGTTCTGCATTTGACCTATGTGCATTTGTGAGTGCATCTGTTGAGTCTGTTGCATATCTGCATTTCCCTGCGCGCCAGGGATGAAGGAAATCTGGGATGTAGTACCCTGTGCGGTACCACATGGCATACCGCACATATGGCTGCCCTGCATTTGCATATTTGACATGGGTTGCTGCTGCATCAAGTGCGCTGGCTGATCAGATTGCATGACACTGGGGTTTGGTGGCACGGGTGGGAAAGCTTGCCCCTGACCCAGCTGGCCAGAAGCTTGCCCCCAGCTGCCATATCCACAGCCAGAACCAGCACTGCAACCTGTGCAACCACAGCCTTGTGACATGCCACAGCTATTGCAGCCAGAAGGATGAGCCGTTAGATTTGAAAATTCCCTCTGCGAAAAGCCTTGACCAACTGGAGCTGGACCCGAAGCACCAGAAGGACAAGAAGGACAAGAAGGACAAGAAGGATTGAAAGTCTCAAAATTCTTCATTTGATGGGGATAATTCAGCTGCCCTTGAGTTTGAGTATTTTGGAATTGATGCTGTGCAGGTTGGTACCTCGAACTGCCACCACTCCTCTCCGAATTCTCCGCATGCATGGGAGGAAGGGGAGGGAAAACATGGGTGGACATAGAATCAGCGTTCATCCCCATGGTGGTGTTGCTACCTGAGCTTGGAGATTGAAGGCTGGTCTGAAAGGTATGGCTGCCGGAAGGTTGGAAGTCGCTGGAGTGGCTGTGGAAGTTGCCAGACTGGCCAGGACACTGGGCCTGGGGTGCTAGCGGGGGGTGCGATGGATGCGACGTAGACAGCGGTCGTCCAGTTCCCATTTCACTTTGTCGCTGGAAAGGCTTCAGCTGAACATTCATCCTTGGCTAATGGTTCTGCTCGGGCAAAGCATGGGAATTGCATGTTTGACATGATTAACACGGCAAACAGTCTTGTTTGTTTGATCACCCATCTGAAGTCTCCATTGCAATACATGCCCAGAAAAATGGATCAAACTGAGCTGGTTGCTGCAGGGATTTTCCATGGAAAGACGGAAAAGACAATGGCACCTTGAGAAAAAGTCTTAGAGCTTCATCTTGTCTGAATTCATCTGAGAGCTTGGTGGCAAGGTGGCAAGGTGGGCTGAGCTTTCCACAGTGCCATTCTGACGTTCCGGAGCCCTCAAACTAGCTGCGAGAACAGCACGCCCAGTTGTGACCAAACCCTGAGGCGGACTTCAACACAAAAAAGATTCAAGCATAGTTTTAGATGGGCACAAGCATAAGTATTTCAAATCACGTCAAATCATGATGTCATGAACCTCACGCTACCACTGAAAGCTTCGACTTTGCCAATGTGCAGCCAAAACACACAAATGGCAGAATCATCCACACCATTTCCTTCGACACGCAGCCAGACTGGTGGCCTTCTTGATGTCAGCTGCATCCATTTGGATTCCTCAGATCCGCACTTGACTCGTGAGCTTTATTCTTGAGCATCTTGAGCCATTGCCAGGGCGACTGGGCAGTGCAACAGCGGCACCTTTCCCAATGCCTCTCCTTGTATCTGCAAATCCTATATCCACCTGCCTACTGGGTGGTCTACGTATCCTTGCCATGCTAGTAAGGTTGTGGTGTATGTGTGTGTGTCAGCCCCTCATCTCTCCGAAGTGTGTAACGATTTCAATGCCAGGACTCCATAAGACTATATCAAAATGTGATCTATATAATGCATTAAAACCTAAACTGGAGCCTTGCATTACATTGCAAGCATACATTAAATAGCATTATCTAGCATTTCTCAGCGGACGAGATTTGCAGTAGACATCTCAATCTCAAGACACCTCCTTTCACATAATATAAGTACAGTATATATGATAATTATGCATATCACACGCACATACATATATATATATACAGTGTATATATATATGTGTGTATGTATGTATGTATGTATCTATGTATGTATGTATGTATCTATCTATCTATCTATCTATCTATTTATCTATCTATCTATCTATCTATCTATGTATCTATGTATCTATGTATCTATGTATCTATGTATCTATGTATCTATGTATCTATGTATCTATGTATCTATGTATCTACGTATGTATCTATGTATGTATCTATGTATGTATCTATGTATGTATCTATGTATGTATCTATGTATGTATCTATGTATGTATGTATGTATGTATGTATGTATGTGCTTACTGTATATATATATATATATAGCGGGTTGCATCCTGCAAACAAGGTTCAATGGCCTGAACTAAATTGTGGAAACCGCTTGGAGTGATCCGATTGTGCGACAAATGCAGCTCACTGGGCAAGTTGTCTGCCGGCATTGAGTTGATCCATTCAGCCATGGTTCGCCTCGAATCGAGGGTGACCACTTTCTGACAAGAATGATGCGGAGTGGAGTATAATATAATATATATATATACATATATACACTGTATAAATTTTGAAAAGTATATATATATATATATTTATGGATCAGAAAAGAACAACAAACACTTCAAAGTACTGAGTCTACACGTCGGCCTCAATAGCTTCAGTAGCGTCATGTCATGGATTGTCATTGCACGACAATGTACGACAATATGGCACACCAAGGCTCGAGGCAGAGTCATCAAGTCCACAGTCAAATGCTTTCAACCGTTCAACACGGACGCATTTCTCCCGCAATATCCTGAACAGGTAGTCCTTGCAGTGCCACCAGATCAACACACACCAACCTTTTCGGTGCACACAATCACAAAAGCAATACATAAGCAGCGTCCCAACAAGACTTGCATTAGCTCAAGCAATCTTCCCAAATCTACCCGCCCTACAGTACCCTGATGAGCTACAAAAGCCAAGATTCTACACATGCTGGCAGCCTGAAGCGCAGCAGCTCAAAGTTGTAAGGCTCGAGGCTTGGGATCAGTTCATTGGGTGGAAGTGCTCCCTGCTTCAGCATGAGTGTTAGATCAATATGTACTGCTTCTCTGAGCTCAGCACATGGCTACCTTCGAGATGTCCACCTGATTAAAGGCGGCACTGCCAACCTCAACAGAACAATCAACAGAACCATTTCACAAGCGAGGCATCTTGCTCAGGCTTCAGCACACATGGCAACCCTACATTCCATTGACATATAATCCGCCGACCCCGGCCGACAGCAAGGGGGAGCGCGTCAGGGAAGAGAGGTTGTGGACAACAACAAATACAACAACGGGTCTTGGGAAGCTTTCCAAAGAGCTGGAAATTTGTGTTTTTAAACTAGGGTTTCAGAAGGGACGTTAAGCCTCGTGGATTATCATTGCAGGGCACCATTCCGTCCCTCAGTGCCATGGTGTTTTCCTGTCCAGGAGGTGCATTTTTTTAAGGCAATTTGCTGGCTAAAAGATGTGGCAAGCAGTTGCAGCAGCCGCAGCAGAAGCAGCGCAGCAGCAACAACCAAAGTAGCAGCCGAGCAGCTTACAGCAGGAGCAGGGCAGCAGGAAGGCCATGTGGACAAGTTGACAAGAGCTGCCAAGAGCTGGAAATTTGTGTTTTTTAACTAGGGTTTCAGAAGGGACGTTACGCCCCGTGGATTACCATTGCAGGGCACCATTGGTGTGTGTTCCCGTCCAGGAGGCTGGTCAGCAGCATCAGCAGCTGCCGAAGCCAGCACACCAAAAGCAGCGGAGCAGCAACAACCGAAGTAGCAGCCAAGCAGCTTACAGCATGAGCAGGGTAGCAGGAAGGCCATGTGGACACAGTTGTCAAGAGCTGCCAAGAGATGGAAATTTGTGTTTTTTAACTAGGGTTTCAGAAGGGACGTTAAGCCTCGTGGATTATCATTGCAGGGCACCATTCCGTCCCTCAGTGCCATGGTGTTTTCCTGTCCGGGAGGTGCGTTTTTTTAAGGCAATATGTTAGCTAAAAAGCACACCAGCAGGAGGAGGGGCTTGTAGCAGGAGCAGCAGCAGCAGCAGCAGGAAGCAGCGCAGCAGCAACACCCGAAGTAGCAGCCGAGCAGCTTACAGCAGGAGCAGGGCAGCAGGAAGGCCATGTGGACACAGCTGTCAAGAGCTGCCAAGAGCTGGAAATTTGTGTTCTTTAACTAGGGTTTCAGAAGGGACGTTAGGCCTCGTGGATTATCATTGCAGGGCACCATTCCGTCCCTCAGTGCCATGGTGTTTTCCTGTCCGGGAGGTGCATTTTTTTAAGGCAATTTGTTGGCTAAAAGATGTGGCAAGCAGTTGCAGCAGCCGCAGCAGAAGCAGCGCAGCAGCAACAACCAAAGTAGCAGGCGAGCAGCTTACAGCAGGAGCAGGGCAGCAGGAAGGCCATGTGGACACAGTTGTCAAGAGCTGCCAAGAGCTGGAAATTTGTGTTTTTTAACTAGGGTTTCAGAAGGGACGTTAGGCCTCGTGGATTATCATTGTAGGGCACCATTCCGTCCCTCAGTGCCATGGTGTTTTCCTGTCCGGGAGGTGCGTTTTTTTAAGGCAATATATATATGTTAGCTAAAAGCACACCAGCAGGAGGAGGGGCTTGTAGCAGGAGCAGCAGCAGCAGCAGCAGGAAGCAGCGCAGCAGTAACAGCCAAAGTAGCAGCTGCAGCAGCTTAAAGCAGGAGTAGGGCAGCAGGAAGGCTATGTTGATACAGTTTTTTCTACGGCTTCAGACGACATGTTAGGCACTTTTTGGGCTGCATTTTGTCGCTGTTCCGTCCTTCACTGCCACTGTGTTTCCCCGTCCAGGAGCCACGTTTTGGGACTCGGCGCAGCAGTAGCAAGAGTAGCAGCAGTAGCAGCAGCAGAGGCAGCAGCAGCCAGCAGCAGCAGCAGCAACAACAAAAGTAGCAGCCGAGCAGCTTACAGCAGGAGCAGGGCAGCAGGAAGGCCATGTGGACACAGCTGTCAAGAGTTGCCAAGAGCTGGAAATTTGTGCGCTTTAACTAGGGTTTCAGAAGGGACGTTAGGCCCTGTGGATTACCATTGAAGGGCACGATTGGTGTGTGTTCCCGTCCAGGAGGCTGGTCAGCAGCATCAGCAGCTGCCGAAGCCAGCACACCAAAAGCAGCGGAGCAGCAACAACCGAAGTAGCAGCCAAGCAGCTTACAGCATGAGCAGGGTAGCAGGAAGGCCATGTGGCCACAGTTGTCAAGAGCTGCCAAGAGCTGGAAATTTGTGTTTTTTAACTAGGGTTTCAGAAGGGACGTTAAGCCTCGTGGATTATCATTGCAGGGCACCATTCCGTCCCTCAGTGCCATGGTGTTTTCCTGTCCAGGAGGTGCGTTTTTTTAAGGCAATATGTTAGCTAAAAAGCACACCAGCAGGAGGAGGGGCTTGTAGCAGGAGCAGCAGCAGCAGCAGCAGGAAGCAGCGCAGCAGCAACACCCGAAGTAGCAGCCGAGCAGCTTACAGCAGGAGCAGGGCAGCAGGAAGGCCATGTGGACACAGCTGTCAAGAGCTGCCAAGAGCTGGAAATTTGTGTTCTTTAACTAGGGTTTCAGAAGGGACGTTAGGCCTCGTGGATTATCATTGCAGGGCACCATTCCGTCCCTCAGTGCCATGGTGTTTTCCTGTCCGGGAGGTGCATTTTTTAAAAGCAATTTGTTGGCTAAAAGATGTGGCAAGCAGTTGCAGCAGCCGCAGCAGAAGCAGCGCAGCAGCAACAACCAAAGTAGCAGCTGCAGCAGCTTACAGCAGGAGCAGGGCAGCAGGAAGGCCATGTGGACACAGCTGTCAAGAGCTGCCAAGAGCTGGAAATTTGTGTTCTTTAACTAGGGTTTCAGAAGGGACGTTAGGCCTCGTGGATTATCATTGCAGGGCACCATTCCGTCCCTCAGTGCCATGGTGTTTTCCTGTCCGGGAGGTGCGTTTTTTTAAAGGCAATATATATGTTAGCTAAAAGCACACCAGCAGGAGGAGGGGCTTGTAGCAGGAGCAGCAGCAGCAGCAGCAGCAGCAGCAGCAGGAAGCAGCGCAGCAGTAACAGCCAAAGTAGCAGCTGCAGCAGCTTACAGCAAGAGTAGGGCAGCAGGAAGGCTATGTTGATACAGTTTTTTCTACGGCTTCAGACGACATGTTAGGCACTTTTTGGGCTGCATTTTGTCGCTGTTCCGTCCTTCACTGCCACTGTGTTTCCCCGTCCAGGAGCCACGTTTTGGGACTCGGCACAGCAGTAGCAAGAGTAGCAGCAGAGGCAGCAGCAGCCGCAGCAGCAGCAACAACAAAAGTAGCAGCTGCAGCAGCTTACAGCAGGAGCAGGGCAGCAGGAAGGCCATGTGGACACAGCTGTCAAGAGCTGCCAAGAGCTGGAAATTTGTGTTCTTTAACTAGGGTTTCAGAAGGGACGTTAGGCCTCGTGGATTATCATTGCAGGGCACCATTCCGTCCCTCAGTGCCATGGTGTTTTCCTGTCCGGGAGGTTCGTTTTTACGGCAATTTGTTGGCTGAAAGATGTGGCAAACAGTTGCGGGGTGCAGAGGTGGCAAACAGGTCCAGATTCAAAACCCACTCGCTCTGAAATATCAGCTAGCAAAAATAGGCCCGGGGTCGGCGGCAGGGGCGGCAGCCCTTAGATATATTGACATATCAGCTACAGGAAGACAACGAGGACAACAGTTAACAATGCAACTAGTTGACTACCAGCACCTCTTTGATAATTCCTAGGGGTTGGCTGCATGGCTGGCATGATCTGGCATCAAAAGCATCAAATCAAACCAAACATCTAATGATCTGAAGATATCCAAAGAGATCACAAGAGGGTTACAAGAGGTCTACAAGAGGCCTACAAGAATTGAAAGATTCGATTTGATGTCCGGACTGGCAGAGTCTGCCAAGTCTCCGGGTGTGATTCCAAGGCTTGGCGAAGCTTCTCGCAGAACAGTTCTCCTTGGGGAGGTGCATCTTTGAAAGCAGCCTTAGCGAAACATTGTGCGGCTCTGACCTCGCATAAAAATCATAAAACATGCTACGACGCTACGAGAGCTTCAAAATGATTGAGGTCCATTGAGGTCCATGGAGGTATTGATGGACAGCTTGTGGCACAGGAACTGGGTTTGCAGAATGATATGTGGTGCATCTCAGTTCATCTATCTGCATTTTAGATCATTTTTAGATCATTTTTAGATCATTTTTAGATCATTTTTAGATCATTTTTAGATCATTTTGGTGCGTGTGACTGCATCTGCATTTGGGTTAGCCAGGTCACATCCCCTCGCCAGGGCAAACCAGAGATGAAGCTTCTTGGCAGCCCATCAGCAGCCAAAGAACCGGCCATGCCACGGCGCTGTGATGGCTACGGTGAGAGGCTGTAATGTACAACAGGAGTTCTGAAGCATTCTGAAGCGGGCTGAGGAGCAGCAGCATCCAAATTATATATGCGGGGAAAGAAGGCTTGACAAGAAAACATGACCGAAAACCTGGGTAAGCGTCTTGGATGGGAAAGAAACCAGATTTCGGGCAAGTGTTCATCTGGAGCGAAGATGATATAGAGAATCTGGCATGAAATTTACTATGGGTTTTCTCAGGATCGGATCCATGTTTATGAGCCGATGAGTGACTATGAGTGTCTATGAGCCAAGCGGGTGCAAAAACGCGGGTATCGCGTTTCAACGGGTAGTTGGCAGGCAAAAGCTCTCTATTGCTGACCTACGTCTTGCGACTTATGCCAAAACTCCCCAAGGATCCCGAAGCTCTCCTAGGCTTTCTTTTGAACCATGGTTTTGGGGCGATGGGACTCCCAAACATTAATATCACAGTGGACCGTCGTTTGCCATTTTCTGTGTGGGAATCGGGTACCAAAAACTTGTGCCGTCAAAACCAAACCGTGCGAAACTGATAATTCGAATTGTCTCGACGTGTCGACGTTTCGTGACAGTTCGCAAGAACTTGCAGCAGCGGCAGCTTGCCTTGCAGGAACTCGGCGGCGTGCTCTACGTGACATGCGCTCCCTCTCTCTCTCTGGGCTCTTCGAGGCCAATTTGATTGTCCTGGCTTTTCGAGATCCAGCTTGGTGGGTGGTGTGGCTGCGAAGGCGTGTGGTTGAAGGTCAATGGTTCAGCTGGCTGAAAAACTGAAACCCTGGATCAATGGCTCACACTAGCGGGCTGTGAGCACCAAAATACTGCAGAGTGGTCGCTAGTCACTACTTGCATTGTTAACATGCTGAGCCATCAAGGCACCGGGTAAGACCGTGACTTTATTGAATGTTGCCATGAGATTACATCAGATCCGCTGCATGAAGCTCATCAATCAGAAAAACGCAGTCTTTTTTACATCTTGCAGGTTCACACAAATGTGTTACGCACTGAAGATGCTATAAACTATAGATGCTGAAACGGGCTGGAACATTAAAAGCAGCACGGCTCCAAGTAGCCTGTCAGAAGCCTGTCAGAAGCCGAGCCTGTAGCAAACTTAATTGCATGCAAAAACCAGTGCTCTGTGTCCTGTGCCACATGTAGCATTCCACCAATCTCAGGCCACATCAGGCCACATGGATCCACATGGGATGACATGTGCTCAATCCTGTCAACTCAAACAGCATGCGCTGTGCTAGGTGCCACGCTCTTCGGGATCGAACGGAAGCTTTCGACTGCAAACCAAACACATGTTGTGCGGCATGTTCCATGTGGATTTGTATAGTTTGTGTAAGCATTGTATATTTTCGCACTGTTCTGAAGAATGCAAAAGGATGCAAAAGAAGGCAAAAAAGATGCAAACTGTACAGAGGCTTCAATATGTGCCAAAAGCACAGCACCCAAAGCAACGGAATTGCAACAACATCAACAACATGCAAATGCGTCACGGTCACCGGACCCCTTTTTTCCAGCTTCATCTTCCTGTGCTGGCCTGAATTCTACGACGTGTCTGCAGGGCTGCTTTGATCCAAGAGACGCATAAGCAGTTTTGTGTCGAAGCAGAGGGGGGAAAAAAACGGAAAGGCCTGTTAGCACGTCTCTTCGCAAAAGCATGTGTCTGGCACCTCAACGCTCTGATCTGCCTCACTTCCACCAAGATTAATCCTGATTAGTCATGATTCATGATTAATCCAAACAAAAAAAATGTTTCCACAACTACTCTGACCTCTGGACTAGTTGCCAAATCTTTGGTTTTTTTTTCTCAAGGTTTGGGTCTGATCCTGATTAATTTGGATGGATTAATCCTAATTATATATATATATATAATTTATATAATCCAGTTCACTACGTCCTACATCATGACTCCTGCTAGTTCCGGCCTTCGTGCCCCCAAATTGGCATCAAATCAGATGCTCAGAGATTTGGGCATGGGTTGAGGGCAATTTTGTATTTCATCTATTTTCATCTAGTTTTCTGAAGAACTTTGCACTTTTCAAAAACAATGCCGAAAAAATGAAACAAAATAAAGCAGACAAAGTGAGTGCACTTAGGACATGGGTTCTTCATTTTTTCCCTATAATCCTCCAATCTCTGCGATCCCAAGTCGTATTTTTCAAAGCACGTAAGATTGCAATATCTATTTGAAAAGAGCGCACTATTGGTCTGAAAAAGACCTTCAATACGTATACAATTTCGGAAAAGTATTGCGCCTTCTGCTCACAGATTCCAACACCATTTCAAAATCAGATCCGTTTATATATAACAGTGTGTTTTGTGTGATCATTTTATTCTTTGATGACTTTGATGTGCATGTTTTTAACTATCTGGAAGTTCCTTCAAGAAAGCGCATCATCTCTTTGAAAAGGGTGCAAAATGCCCTCAGACATTAAAACGTCATGTCAAATTTCAAGATGGAGTTCTTGTGCGTATATAGTCCTTTTGTCAAAATAGTATGGTATTCCTTGAAGAATGTGTGGAAAGTCGTGTCTTTTTTCTTCAAAAAATATAACCTCCTTGAGGGAGATGCAATATTTTCTTAAGAAAAGGAACCTTTATTCCAAAATGTAATCCTTTTACATGACATATACAGCACTCTCTCTCTCTCTCAAATAACATGGATTTCCCTTGGAGTATAAGGCACTATTTTGGGAAGTACCCTCTGCAAAATGATGGAAACAATTGATCAAGAAGAGCGCACAATTCTTTCATATTGAATAAATGAAATAGCTCAATTAGAGAAAGACCAGTTTCTTAAGGAACAACAAACAAGGAAGGCTGAACCTTTTCAACAGGACTCCATGTGTCAAGAAAATTATTTACCTTTGCAGGAACATTGCTTTTTGAAACGATTACTATGTTGTCTTATGGGAAAATTGCCATGTGTCATCTTCAACATAGTCATCTTCACAGGAATTTCAAAGAATATTGCTTTGATGCAGATATTGCACTGTTTGACATGAAATCTGCACATTAAAAAGGTGACCGTATATTGAAAGGCGCGCTACATATGGTGCAGGAATATTGCCTACTTAAAGGGATACCATATCATTTGGAAGAAGATTGCTTTTTTTCAAAAGGAATGCTGCATCTTTTAGAGGATTCCTCCATAGTTTGTAGGGATATTGCTTGTTGAAAAAACATTGTACTTGCTCAAAAGAAAATTGCAAATTAATGAAAAATGCTTCTTTGCAAGCTGGGAATACTTCATTGTTGCATTTAATATTGCATATTAGAACAGGCACTATGCTAAACTCATGCTGCATATTATATATATATTATAGAAAAAGATAGAAAAAGACTACTTCATGTTACTTCAATTGAAGGCTGCACTTCTTTAAGGACACCCTGCATCTTGTGGCGTGATATGTTGCAAGGGATAGTGGAAGGGTTCATGCAACTATGTCAAGGATAGTAAGGTGCAAATATATATATATTATTATATATATTTATATTATGTTTATTCCTGAATTGTGTACTATTGTGTACTTACATTTATGATCCTTTGCCTTATGGCTCTGATGTATTTACTTAATTGCATTCAATAAGAGCAACATAATTCACAAGGAGACTCTTAAACAAGAAATATAAATATGATTTTGCATGCGAAGTGCATGGAACTAGATTATATCCAAGAACTTCTGAATAAAAACCTAACCTTATTGAATTATTGCGATTTTGAGCACGTAGCTGGGTGAAAAGTAACGTGATTAAAAATATTAAAAGTGCAACCGGTTCATACCTGGATTAATGGCAATAAAGAATGCCATTTATCTCAATTTTCTGCCGCTCGCAACAGGCCCCTCCCAAAAAAGAACAAATAAACAAGAAATTGAAATGCTGCCCATTACGGGCAAAGTGTGCAGTCACTGTGTGGATCATCAACCTCAGCACAAAGGGGCAGTGCATGCGCAATTCGAGTTGAACACCACATTGGACTCTGTCTTTCAAGAGGTGCTCAAACTGCAGCAAAACGTGTACAAGCCTCGAAGCCGTTGCGAGAAATCACACTGATTCTGCAATGGATTTTTCCGCTTAAACGTTTTTGGGTGGCGGCTGCCGGTGGCCGCGTGCGGAAGAGCGTTTGTAGCTCCATGTGACGCTCAGCCAGAATCTATATGCGATACGCAGTATGGCCGTGGATTTTCTACAAGCCGCCCCCTCCATTCCAGAGGCCAGCAAGCTAACAAAGAAAAAAGAAATATGAGGAATCATATGTATTCATCCTCCGAGGGCAAACAGCACCTCCTCATCTTTGCCTGCATGGGCTTTGGACAGAACCAGGCCCAAGCTTCCACAGTTGCTTGAGCTGTGGCATGCCCACAATCAATTCATACCCTCGTTCCCCCAGCCTTCGCTGCCATTTTCTGCTTGTGCAACTTGTGCCCTCTCTGGAACTAACTAACAAACTCATGAAAAGGATCCTGTCAAAACCTACGCCCCGTGACGGCCTGTAGTGTGAGGAAGCGCTGAACGCATGGGTAACCCAGTGCGATCACATCATGCCTTAGCCAAGTACAGTATTGTCTGGTTTCTACAGCGCTCCTGCAAAGCACTTTAAGAACAAAATGCTGGGCAGCCGGGAGGCATAGCAACGCAAGTGCCAGAGCGTTTCGGAATACATTCGCATATCCGACACACCCATCAATAAATTCCTGGGAGCCGCCGAACAGAATAAGTGTATCTGTGGAATGATCTGGTTGCCACGTGTCAGCAAGAAGAACAACAAATGCACTCACTATGGCACAGTGCTAAATTTTCATAAACTTCGAATCAATCTCGGCAAGCTTCGAAGCTCCATCCGATTTCGGACGAGCTTGCCTTGTATCAGAATGAGGTGATGAACATGTGCGAGCTGCTGACTAAACAAGCAAACAAACACTCTGCAGTCCATTGTTGCATCTGCGTTCATATTCATTTCCGAAGCGACGCACTTGCGAGGCCAGTTGCTTGCTGAGAAGTGGAAAATGTTGTCCCATCGACGACCAAGCCTTGTCAAAGTTAGGAATGCAGCTGGAAGATTGGCAAAGAATCCAAAGAGTTGGCAGGAATCCAAACAGACAAAGAGCAATGCAAATTGCGAACCCAAAAATACCCCAAAGACAGATCTAGCGAACACCGCAGCAGCCTGTGCTGGAGGTTTGTGCAGCTTCACTTGAAGACGCGCCTGCACACAAATCATCAAAATCTTGAAAGCGGTAGCTCTTCTTTTCTCCTTCTCTCCATATACATCATATACTTCTCCTTACGTTTCTCTATTTCTCTCTACTTCTCTCCACATCTCTCCACATCTCTCCACCTCTCTCTACCTCTACCTCTCTCTCTCTCTCTCTCTCTATTAGAGTCCACCTTTCTTAAGTCTTACACTACCGCTGCCATCCGGGAAATGGTTCAACTGATGCATTGGCTGGATCTATTCACTAAGCGCGTCAAGGTTAGTCAACTCGTACTTAGTCACACGGTTTGTTGCTCTCTGCAGCCCTCTGGTGTCTTACTTCATTTACTTTGCTGTTTGTTGACAATTCAAGGACAGGCAAAGCCTGGTGAGGTGGAGCTGAGCGAGCTGAATGAAAGGGGGAAGGTGAGGTTCTCCTCAATGATCAGAGAGCCTTCTCCCGGTGCAGCTACCTCTTCTGCTATTGCCGTGCGCCCCTTCACCCCAATCAACGCATAGGAGCTTCGATAAGATATTTGGTCCACCTTTGTGGCACCCAGAGCAGCTATTGCGGCCTTTGCCTCCGCTGTGAGACTATCAGAGGCGTCGTCCATGGCAGCTATCATCACAATGGTGCCATCTGCTAAGCTCTCCAGCAGGTCTACCAATGGCCCTGCACCTTCTGCCTCGTAGCCAGTGTCAAACACTTGCTTTGACACAATGGCACCAGTCTCTCCCAACACAACCACGCTCAGCCCGCGTGCCGATTCCATGTCTATAAGAGCCCCATTCACGTAGAATTCTGCGAAATTTCCATCTGCACCACCAGCGCTTTTGACCCTCAGAGCCAGCGGGGCTCCAGATCCTCCTGTTGCGGCACTGGTGCTTGCTTGACAAGACGACATCCAAACAGCATTGCTTTTGAGCTCAATTGGGCCTTCTCCAGCACTGGAGTGAGCCTCTGCAATCGCAGACTGCCCCTTGATGCCGATCAGAGCATAGGAATCTCTGTAGGAAAGACTGCTGATTTTGGTAGCTCCTAGCATCTGGATTGACGACCTCGCTTCTGGTGTCAAACTGTCTGAAGCATCATCCATGGCTGCAATCAGTACAGCGGTCCCGTCTGGCAAGCCATTGAGTAAGCTCGCAAGTGGCCCGGAGCCTTCCCCTTCGAAACCAGTATCGTATACGTGCTTGCTCTGCACACCACCATCTTCAGTCAAAATCACAATGCTGAATCCACGCCCAGAAGAGAGTTCCACCTGTAGCCCATTCATGGAGAAGTCTGCATAGTTCCCATCGGCACCACCAGCACTCCTGACTACCACTTCCATGCATGTGCCAGCAGGCAACGCAGACGTTTGGGTGCTAGCCACTGATGTCTGGGCTGCCGTCGTGAGAGAAGTGCTGGGAAGCCCTTGTGTTGTGGTTGTGGGCGTGGTCGTTGTTGTTGCTAGTGAGACTGAGATCGAGACACCTGTGGAGCTCTCAAGTGCAGTTTGCACAGTGGAAGTCTCTGGGATCAAAACTGCAGGAGCCACTGGTTCTTCAGTTGTCACATCGGTAACCAGCTTCATTTCGGTAGTAGCTGGCTGCGATATGATCAGGGACGTGCTGCCTTAGTCAAAGCAACGTCTTGAGAAAACGTGCATAAAATATCCATACACACAAGAAGGTTCGCATTTATATCTATGTCTATCTAAGCAAGATCCTTCGAAGCACGCCCGCGAGAAGAATCATGGCAAACAAAGTGGTCACGGTGGTATTCGGAAAAGTGGTCGGAAACGGTGGTATTCGGAAACTGGTATTCGGAAACTGGAAGTGGTATTCGGAAACTGGACAGTGGTATTCGGAAACTGGACAGTGGTATTCGGAAACTGGACAGTGGTATTCGGAAACTGGACAGTGGTATTCGGAAACTGGACAGTGGTATTCGGAAACTGGACAGTGGTATTCGGAAACTGGACAGTGGTATTCGGAAACTGGACAGTGGTATTCGGAAACTGGGGAGTGGTATTCGGAAACTGGTATTCGGAAACTGGAAGTGGTATTCGGAAACTGGAAAGTGGTATTCGGAAACTGGGAGTCGTATTCGGAAACTGGAAAAAGGTATTCGGAAACTGAGATTGGTATTTGGAAACTGATATAATTGGAAACTGGAAACCCGTAGTAACAAGTAACGTAGCAACGATCCCAGAGATCTCAGCAGCGTAGTAACAAGTAACGTAGTAAGGTCCCAGAGATCCCAGCAGCGTAGTAACATGTAACGTAGTTTTAGATCCCACAGATCGTTGCAGCGTAGCACACTATAATGTACGAAGTACAAGGAACGTTGACATGCCCCCCCTACCCCACCCCACCCCACCCCATCAGCAGCGTAGCAACAAGTAACGTAGCAACGATCCCAGAGATCTCAGCAGTGTAGCACACTATAACGTACGAAGTTCAAGGAACGTTGACATGCCCCCCCCCCTACCCCACCCTACCCCATCAGCAGCGTAGTAACAAGTAACGTAGCAGCGAGCCCAGAGATCCCAGCAGCGTAGTAACAAGCAACGTAGCAACGATCCCGGAGATCTCAGCAGCGTAGTAACATGTAACGTATATGATTCAATTAGGGCGGTACCACGTAAGTGTATCGGATGATCACTCTTTGGGCAGGGTTTACCCCTAACGCATTATATAGGCCAGAGGAGGTGGCAGTTTTGATCCCTCATGAAGTTAAGTTCAAGTCAAGACCCTATTCATCGTATTGGCCAGAGGGGATGGCGGTTTTGATCCCTCATGAAGATAGGTACAAGGTAAGATCCTATTCAATCAGTTTCGTTAAGATCCTATTCAATGTATGGGCCAGAGGGGGTGGCAGTTTTGATCCCTCATGAAGATAAGTTCAAGTGAAGATTTTATGCATCGTATTGGCCAGAGGGGGTGGCAGTTTTGATCCCTCAGGAAGTTAAGTTCAAGTTCAGATCCTGTTCATAGTATTAGCCAGAGGGGGTGGCAGTTTTGGCAGTTTTGATTCATCATGAAGATAAGTTCAAGGTAAGATCCTATTCAATGTATTGGCCTGAGGGGGTGGCAGTTTTGATCCCTCATGAAGATAATTTCAAGTTAAGATATGTTAAGATCCTATGCACCGTATTGGCCAGTTTTGATCCCTCATGAAGATAATTTCAAGGTAAGATCCTATTCAATGTATGGGCCAGAGGGGGTGGCAGTTTTGATCCCTCCTGGAGAAAAGTTGAGGTTAAGATCCTATTCAATGTATTGGCCAGAGGGGATGGCGGTTTTGTCCCGCATGAAGATAAGCAACAAAAGTTAAGATCCTATTTATCGTATTGGCCAAAGGGGGGGTAGTTTTGATCCCTCATGAAGATAGGTTCAAGGTAAGATCTTATTCAATAAGTTTCGTTAAGATCCTATTCAATGTATGGGCCAGAGGGGGTGGCAGTTTTGATCCCTCATGAAGATAAGTTCAAGTTAAGATCCTATGCACCGTATTGGCCAGAGGGGGTGGCAGTTTTGATTCATCATGAAGATAATTTCAAGGTAAGATCCTATTCAATGTATTGGCCAGAGGGGGTGGCAGTTTTGATCCCTCCTGGAGAAAAGTTGAAGTTAAGATCCTATTCAATGTATGGGCCAGAGGGGGTGGCAGTTTTGATCTCTCCTGGAGAAAAGTTGAGGTTAAGATCCTATTCAATGTATTGGCCAGAGGGGATGGCGGTTTTGTCCCTCATGAAGATAAGTTCAAGTTAAGATCCTATTTATCGTATTGGCCAGAGGAGGTGGCAGTTTTGATCCCTCATGAAGATAGGTTGAAGGTAAGATCCTATTCACTAAGGTTCGTTAAGATCCTATTCAATGTATTGGCCAGAGGGGGGTGGCAGTTTTGATGCCTCATGAAGATAAGTTCAAGTTAAGATCCTATGCACCGTATTGGCCAGAGGGGGTGGCAGTTTTGATTCATCATGAAGATAATTTCAAGGTAAGATCCTATTCAATGTATTGGCCAGAGGGGGTGGCAGTTTTGATCCCTCCTGGAGAAAAGTTGAAGTTAAGATCCTATTCAATGTATGGGCCAGAGGGGGTGGCAGTTTTGATCCCTCCTGGAGAAAAGTTGAGGTTAAGATCCAATTCAATGTATTGGCCAGAGGGGATGGCGGCTTTGTCCCTCATGAAGATAAGTTCAAGTTAAGATCCTATTTATCGTATTGGCCAGAGGGGGTGGCAGTTTTGATCTCTCCTGGGGAAAAGTTGAAGTTAAGATCCTATTCAATGTATGGGCCAGAGAGGGTGGCAGTTTTGATCCCTCATGAAGATAGGTTCAAGTTAAGATCCTATTCGCTAAGTTTCGTTAAGATCCTATTCAATGTATTGGCCAGAGGGGGTGGCAGTCTTGATCCCTCATGAAGATAAGTTCAAGTTAAGATCCTATGCATCGTATTGGCCAGAGGGGGTGGCGGTTTTGAATAGTTGCTGGGATACCATAATCATTGCTGGGAGAAACCATAGAGTCAGCATTGAATCCGACAAAAATAGTTCCTGAATACTGCAAAAATAGTTTCTGAATACCACGAGTAGTTTCTGAATCCGACGAAATAGTTTCTGAATACTACGAAAATAGTTTCTGAATACCACGAGCAGTTTCTGAATCCGACAACAATAGTTTCTGAATACTACGAATATAGTTTCTGAATACCACGAGTAGTTTCTGAATACCACGAAATAGTTTCTGAATACCACGAAATAGTTTCTGAATACTACGAATAGTTTCTGAATACCACGAAATAGTTTCTGAATACCACGAAATAGTTTCTGAATACCACGAGTAGTTTCTGAATCCGACGAAATAGTTTCTGAATCCCACGAAATAGTTTCTGAATACCACGTTTATTTTCTGAATCCGACGAGCAGTTTCTGAATCCCTAGTTTCTGAATCCGGCGTAGTTTCTGAATCCGTCTTTGTCCCAAACAAAGTCGCTGATGATAAGGCGTCAAAAGGTTCTATGCTCTAGTGTGATCGACAACAACCCTCAAATCACTCTCGGTGTGGCACCCAAAACCATCACCACGACAATTAGAGTCATTCCATTGCTTTCAACTCTGAACCCTTGATCAATCCGTTTTGCCTGGAGAAACCATATTCTGCCACCATCTTTACTCATCTTTACTCTACATGAAATTCACACTTTCTGGGACCTAGTGAGTTGATGTGAGTTGTGGGTAACTGCCGCTGAGGTGCTATCAACATCCGGATTGCTGCCAAGTTGAGCTTGAAGTGCTGTTGCATCATCTGCTAGGTTCGCCAAGCTACTGACACTGCTCAACGTGCTGGTTTCAACCTCTCGGCACACATGACAAGGGACAGACTGACAGACCTTGTCAGGTGAAACAGCACACCCAAACAAAACACAGGCAGGGACCATGGTCTTAAGTGAACAAGAAGGGAAACAAGGGAAAATGATGCAAAACGATGAGTTGCATTGATATCCACAATCCAAGCTTGTCATGAAAGCTTGTAGGTTTCACGCAAGGGGTCCTCAGCATCCGCCTGAATTGTGGCCAAACCTGGCAACAGGGATGATCGTGAGAAAGCAGGACCAGGGAGGACCGGGAGGACCAGGAGGCAGTTGAGAAATGCTGAGAAAATATTCAGTCAAAATGTACAAACTGCAAAACACACACGAAGCCCTCAGTGCAAGCCCCATTTGCCCCATTTCCCAACCTTGAAGTCTTCTGCCTCCTGTAATTGTCTGTGTACGCACCACACAGGAATCCGCGGCCGCAAAGAGACTGCAAATCTCGCTCTTCACAATCTGGCCAAGTCTAAGGCAGTTTCTTATCAACGTGGTATGCAACATGCATGTCATATGATTCAATATGATTCATATGCAAAATCGTACAACAAATCAACAAATCAATGAAACACACGGTAAAATCATTGATTCGGAGAGTTTCCCCGCCTCCAACTCAGATGGCACTGCAGACAGCTGGTACGTTGAGAGCACCATGTAGGAGACTTTCGCCTCGGTCACCCACACGTCTAAAATCGTCTGAAACAAAGGCCAAATTGGCCTAGGCCCTAATTGTTCTACCATGCGGGTCCGGCATAGTACTGGTAAGTATTCAAACATGTCAGGAGGTTGAGACATGTTGAGACATTGAAATCGTTGAAAGAGGAAGCGAGTGTTTGAGATACAACTGGCACAGCCTTCACTCCCCGCAGCCAGATGACTTCCCCAATCAGACTGGCTAAACTCAGTGAAGACAGCGCTCCACAGGAAAGCGGCTAACAAAATGCCAACCAAAGTGAAATCCGACGAGAGAGGGAGAGAGACAGTGACAGAACTACAAAAATCATCAAAAATGAATTGAGGCAGAAGAAGTCCCCGAGCCCTAGGAGTCCTAGGTCCTTTGTTTCATAATTTCGAAGGTAAGCGCTCATGTTTGGTGCATTGCAATCCGAGGAACCACGGTCACACTGGCTGTGACACTGTCGAGGGCTGCAATGACGGATGATTTGTAGCTCTCAACAGATATTTGTTCCAAGTTGGATGGGGTCCCAACTTGAATGCGCATAGTGAAGCTTGTGCTGACATGGTGTGGTGGAGCAGCAGAAGGTGCACACTGAGACAAATCGGAGGTAACTGTGTAGTTCAGGAAGAGGTCGTTGAACTTCACACAGCATGTAGATTCCTTCGGCGTAACAACTACTCGAGACGTGAAAGCTGACTCAAAACAAAGACCCTAAAAGCAGAAGAACATAGAAGAACAAAGATTGTCTTCTTCAAGAAACTTTCTGATGTGTGGCGAGTGTCTGTTCCAGTGGGTGCAGTTTTAACTTTCCTCCTGCAGCAGTAGCATGGGCCGCAAGAACTCATTTCTTCACTTTGATCATTCACACCGTACTCCCAGCAATTCTCTGTTCCAACCGATGCGCACCAAGCTCCATCTTGTCCATCAGTGTAGCCATGGCACTGCCACTGCGCAGTCGCGTCCGGAACGCACTGTGGTGATGCAGCGGTACACAAATGACTCAGCCAGAGGTCCGTTGCAAATTCAGCACCAGAGGCGATGCTCTCGCGCTCTGACCACAGTTCTCTGTCTGTCATCCATTTACGGCATGGCTCTGATCCAGACAAAGTTGGCACCACGTTGAAGTCTTGATGTCTAGGATCAAAATCTGGGACGTTGTATAGGAGCTCTCGCACTGGATGTGAGCCGTAGGATTTAGACCAGTCCTTGACAGGAGTGAATCTGGTCCGCACAAATCCGCTCAGGCTGACATTGATTCCCCAGGTAAAGGATGAAATCAGCATCATGCGGCCCTCGTTGTGTTTGCCCCAGTCATTGAATTCCCCGCGCAAGAACATCTCCTCGTGCCAGCTTGCATGACAACGCTCTCCTGTTTTGGCGAGGCAGTCGCCCACAATGAAGCTTGCACTCAACCGGGAGTAGTACTGAACAAGAACTGGGACACTGAACTGCGCATTCCACTTGGTGGTACTCTCATTGTACTGCCTCCACTCTGACCAATTGCTACCGACGTTCTGAACTCTGAACCAACTGGCTCCGGTTGCTTTATGACATATCTGCGCACCATTGTCGCAAATCAAGCCGGGAAGCTTCTGAATGGAATTTGCAATAACACCGTCTTGCCTATCAATCATAAACTCGCTCCGGAAAGCTGCGCCAACTGCAAGCCCATCTTGGTCCAATGCATCCTTGGTGACTTCCAGACTATGGTGACCATCACTCAGGCTTGACATGTCAACTTGTTTGGTACATTCATCTCCAGAGCATTGGAAGCTTGAAGCCTCACCATTCAAAAGAACGTAGTTCGAAATGGAATCAGCCATAGATCTGTCAAACTTGATCCTCAGGATGATTTGACCCAGATCACCGTTCAGTGACGACCCATGTTTTGGCCAAACCTCTACAACTGCTGCAGGAACGCTTTCCACAGCCGGTGAGAGGACCAAGACTTGAAGCGGTGCAAGGGTAATGGAGACACTGCTCTGCTCAACCGACACCTGCACTGCGTTTTGCATGACCAAACAGTCTGTCAAGACAGTGCCAGAGGACCATGGGACGGCATCAATTGATGCAAGCCGTTGCTCTGAGGTGTGGAAATTGGCAACCAACAATACTTTCTTGTCAGCGCTACAGCCACGAATGAAAACAAGAACATCCGGAGTCTTGTATGTGGGTGTTTGAATTTGATCGCACTCTTCATTTCCAAACTCACCGAAGTAGGCCCTCCGCAAGGCATTCAGCCGCTTGATGTACAGGTATGTGGAGCTTGTCATGTCAAAGTTGTCACCATCTGCAGGATTCCCATTCGGTTGAGTTCGAACTGCACGCCAGGCCAGGGAGGGACTGAGCTCCTCTCGAGCCCATCCATCTAGGGCACTTCCTGGTGAATCAAAGTCTTGCTCATCACCTGCATAGTGAAGTGGGACGCCGGGCCAGAAGGTGATCAGAGCCAAGCACATGTGAAATTCCGGAAATCCTGTCATGCTTTGAAGGCGCCAGTTGTCATGATTGTTGCAAAAGGTCCACATAGCATACTCGTGGCGCTGGGTGGCGGGATCAAGTGTGTCAATGATTTTGTTCTCCTCCACATATGCCAAGGGGAGCCCATCAACATACTCCGGCAGCTTGTAGACCATGGCCGTGAAGATGTACCAGTAATAAGGGTACACAATTCCACCCTTCAAGGTAAAAATGTCATCAATGAAAATGTCTTGGTTGTACATCGTATTGTCTCGCCCTCTCCCGGTCATTGTACCGTATCTCTGCACCGAGACGAAGAACTCCCCAAAGATACCGAAGCGATCCTTACCCAGGGTTTGGGCATGGGCTCTCATAGCAGGCGCCCAAACTTTGTAAAAGTTGAGAGGCACTTGCATGGGAGTGTCAACCCGGAATCCATCGACGTCAGTACTTGTGATCAGTGCTTTGGTCATGGCAATGTACTTTTGCTGGACACGTTCATTTTCAAGACGTAGGTCGTCCATGACACCGTAGATCTTCCCTAGATTGATCTCCCAAGGGTCATAGTACTCCTGCAAATCACCATTATGATGGAAATCTGAGCCAATGTAAGTGCCAAAGCCTGTGTCAGTCTTCGACTCACCCCACTGGCCATACACGGTCCCATTGTACTGGGCTGTCGGGTCCCACGTGTTGTTGTACCAAAAGTCTGCATAAGGCTGCCTACCCGCAGGTGTGTGATACAATCCGTCCATGTCTCTCTGAGCCTTGCTTCTCTTTTTGAATATCGTGACGCTGCCATCTCCAAATGGTGATTGCTCTGAGCAAGAGGAGAAGCCTGCGCAGTGAAAACGGGTGTCAGCACCCGGATCATCTTTCCATAGATAGTACTGACAAGCATCATCTGATGCACATCTTGCTTCACAGGTGTCTTGATCTGTCAAAAGGCCAGTTGCGTTCCCACCATATACGGACCACAACCCACTGCCTCCACACCACACATTTTGAGCAAACTCTTCGGCCACTACCGGCCAGGTCCACTTCTTGAAGATGGACCCCTTGCCATCAGTGTATGGGGTTGGAGAGTCGCAGTACTTGAAGCCAGCGCAATGGTATGTGCTTAATGAGCCAAGATCGTCTTTCCACAAGAAGTAGAAGCAATCTGGATCTTCTGCGCATCTTTCTTCGCAGGCATCACTGTTTAGCAAGAGTCCCGTTGGTGAATTGCCAAACTCTTGCCACAGGGGATCACCCCCACACCAAATGGAGGAATTAAAGAACGTCGCCTGGTCAGAGCAGTTTTCGTGGAAAATGTTGGCATATATATATATGTATATATATATATATGTTGTATATATATATGTTGACATTCAGATGTGTCAAGTGGTGTCAAGGTGTGTCAAATTGTGTCAAGTTGTGCCTGGTGTACGACAAAGCTGTGTGCACTGCATGTCAGTTATTTTTGGGCCTTGGAAGTGCGGACTTTCAGCTTGTATTCACGGTTGCCATCATCCTCATGGAACCTCCAAGGTGCCTGTGACTTTGAATGGCCCTCAAAGTAGAACTCATTGGCCTCGGTCAGGCACCTAAACAAGTTCCAAACACCGTTTCAAAATGTCCGTGAACTCCGGTTCAATTTGAACTTGGCAATGTTGCAAAAGTCTGGTCACCCTGGTCTACCGTCTAACCACAGGAAGGGAGAGAGAGAGAGAAAGAAAGAGAGAGAGAGAGACAGAGAGACAGAGAGACAGAGAGACAGAGAGACAGAGAGACAGAGAGACAGAGAGACAGAGAGACAGAGAGAAGGAGAGAAGGAGAGAGAGAGAGAGAGAAGAAGAGAAGGAGAGATGATACAAATGGAAACCAAACCGGATGGTAAATACAGCAAAAGTAAATGTGAATCGACGACGTCAGCAAATCTTTGCACCATCTCCATGATCTTTGCGATCGAAGTCACCATGTGATTCATGACCTGGATAAACCGGGCAGTGAGCGAGACAATCCGCAGACTGCTATAGTCTGTTTCAGCATCATCAAGTGTGTTTCAACATCATCAAGCGTGTGCCAACCTGAGGTGCAAAATTTCGCTGCAAATCTCAGCTCTGGACAACATCGACGATGACATATATTCCAAGTTCATGGGCATCTGCAACCAGATGGCGAAGCTTGTCAAGAGTCCCCAAACGCTTGTCCAGGACAGTAAAATCAAGCTGCGCATACTGATGATAGAAGTTGTAGCCATTCCTGAGACAGCACAGCCATCGAAAAAAAAAATGCGATGCTATGACAATGAACTCAATGCAAAATAAGCACCCGAGTCCACAATGGACATGTCTTACACGTTCTTTCACAGCATGAAAAAATCGCCACCGACAAAAACAAACACATGGCACAAACACGCAGAGAAAGAGAGAGAGGGAGAACCTGACACTGCACACGTTGATCACTGTATGGGCACGCTGGACGCCGTGGGCACTGTGGGCGCAATCGCAAGGATGGAAAAGGATCTGGAAGGTACTTGTTATGACTCCTGGAAACGCAGAACATGAGCCTGGACAATGTAGGCCAATTTTGTTACACACACACATATATATATATGTATGTGTGTGTGTAAGTAAGTAAGTAAGTAAGTAAGTAAGTAAGTAAGTAAGTAAGTAAGTAAGTAAGTAAGTAATGTAAGTATGTATATGCACAAAATTATTCTTACATGTGTACACTGTGTACATGCATACATGCAAAATTGCAAACATATATGCATGATATGTATGCATACATGCATGCATGTATGTAACGTATGAATGTAATGTATGTATGCAACGTATGAACGTATGAGCGTATGTACGTATGTATGTATATATGTATGTCTGTATGCATGTATGTGTCTATCTTTCTTTCTACCCATCCATCCCTCCATCCATCCATCCATCCATCTATGTATCTAGCTATCTATGTATCTGTGTATTTTCGTATTTATGTATATATGTACGTATTTTTGTATATATGTACGTATGTATGTATGTATGTATGCATGCATGCATGCATGTATGTATGTATGTATGCATGCATGCATGGATGTATGTATGTATGTATGTATGCATGTATGCATGTATGCATGTATGCATGTATGCATGTGTATGTATGTATGTATGAATGTATGTATGTATGTATGCGTGTGTCTGTATGTATGTATGCATGCATGCATGCATGCATGCATGTATGTATGTGTGTGTATGTGTGTATGTATGTATGTATGTACGTACGTACGTACGTACGTATGTATGCATGTATGTATGTATGTATGTATGCATGTATGTATGTATGTGTGTATGCATGTATGTATGCACTCATGCTTGCATGTATGTATGTACGTGCATATGTATGTATGTATGTACGTACGTATGTACGTATGTATGTATGTAAGGTATGTAAGGCATGTAAGGCGTCTAAGGCATCTAAGGTATGTAGGGTTTGTATTGTATGTAAGAGATGCATGTATGAAAGTAGGTATGTATTTGTGTATGTATGTATGTATGTATGTATGTATGTATGTAAGTAGGTATGTATGTATGTATGTATGTATGTATGTGTCTATGTGCGTGTGTGCGTGCGTATGTGTGCATGCATGTATGTATGCATGCATGCATGCATGCATGCACGTTTGCATGCATGCACGCATATGTGCATGTGTGTGTGTGTGCGTGTGCATGTCTGCGTGTATGCGTTTGGAAGTGTAAGCCGTGTGAGCGTATACGCATGTCTGCATGTATGTATGTCGGTCTGTATGTCTGCCTGACTGCATCTGTGTGTGTGTGTAACATCTTAATAGATGTAAAACTTTTCTCTTTTTCTTCCTTCTGTCCTCTCCCTTTTTAAACCTAGTAGCAGGGGGTGCCAGGGATGCACACTGAACTGGCACCAACGAAGACGCCAGTGTGTCATCTGTGATATCGATGGGGACGCTCATCGACGTACCTGCTATATATTTATATTTTCATCCTTATCTAAGTAACTAACTAATCTAATCTGCATGTCACAGGACTCAGTTCCTGACGGATCATATAATGATCCATTCTTGTCTAGTGCGATTCCTATGGTGACTCCGACATGGTGCCATAGGGCCAATTGAGGCAACCCTGTTTAGGGTGAATGTCGACTGACCGGACTTCTGAATTCACACATTTTAACTTGGTAATTCGTTTAAGTAAAGTGCAACAATCAGCCTTGCGGTTTACCAGCCTTTTGAGGTTGTCCCGCTGCTCTTGTGGTCCCAGGGATTACTCGCCGATGCGTTTCTTCAACTGTGAAGCCGTGCCGAACTTCAGAAACCTCCTTTTTTCGCAGCTGCTTTTGACGATTCATGACAACAGCATTTGATACAGGAACCAGGCAGGCACACGTCTTTCAGGTGTGGTCTTTTTCTTTTGATGGTTGTCTGGTGAGGTTAAACATTTTGTGCACCTAATTCGTTGGAACCTGGAAGCTGTTATATGCCGATTGGGGCAAGAATTGACAACGGGCCTCGAGTGGCACAATTGCACGACCTTTAGGTTTTGGAACTGAATCCTGTTTTTAATTAATTGTTTTGGTTTTCCTGTCTGTCATCAACTAGTCCCCCATTTGGTCCCTAATTTCCCCGCGTGCCTCTCCGTAATGTGTCGTGGGGTTTAGGTGTGTGCGCTGTTTTGATCGGGTCCGTTTCGCCGTGTAGGTTGGTTCCGGAGGTCCGTCTGTTCCCCTCCCCCCCTTGCGCTGTTTTTGGCCGTTTGCCCTTCGTGTGTCCGCTTTTTTCTTCCTCTTGCCTTTCAGGGTTGACCCGGCTCTGGCCGGGTGTGTGTGTGTGTAACATCTTAATAGATGTAAAACTTTTCTCTTTTTCTTCCTTCTGTCCTCTCCCTTTTTAAACCTAGTAGCAGGGGGTGCCAGGGATGCACACTGGACTGGCACCAACGAAGACGCCAGTGTGTCATCTGTGATATCGATGGGGACGCTCATCGACGTACCTGCTATATATTTTCATCCTTATCTAAGTAACTAACTAATCTAATCTGCATGTCACAGGACTCAGTTCCTGACGGATCATATAATGATCCATTCTTGTCTAGTGTGTGCGTGTCTGTGTGTGAGTGTGTCTGTCTGCCTGCCTGCCTGCCTGTCTGTGCCTGTGTACGTACCTTTCAGCCATGTACCGGGCAGGGCCATGTTGGAATATAAACCTCAATTTTTGGGAAAAAAACGTATGCACGTATGTACGTCTGTCTGTCTGCATGCATGTACATAGGTACGTCCATATATACATATGTACACATGCATGTCTGTATGTATGTATGTATGTATGTATGCATGTATGTATGCATGCTTGTTTGCTTGTTAGCATCTAGGTCTCTATCTACTGTATCTATCTACTGTATCTATCTAGTGTATCTATCTATCTACCTATCTATCTACCTGTCTACCTATCTACGTACGTACGTACGTACGTACCTACGTATGTGTGTATGTATGTATGTATGTATGTATGTATGTATGTATGTATGTATGTATGTATGTATGTATGCATCGATGCACGCATGCATGTATGTATGCATGTGTGTGTGTATGTAATTTGTGGCTGTAATTCTGCATGCATGTATGCATGTATGTATGTATGCATGTGTGCATGTATGTTTGCATGGACTGCTTCGGACGGATGGATGGGTGGATGGATAAATGTACGTATCTATCTCTGTCCCGCTCTCTCTCACCATCCCACAGGTTCAGCATCCATCCATCCACCCATCCACCCATCCATCCAGCCATCCATCCATCCATCATCTCTAAAATTTATGTTCCTACTTCAATCTATGTGTCTATGTATCTATGTGTCCACGTATCTATATAAAGTATGTATTACTATGTCCGCCTAGAACATCTATGATTTTTTGTACCTACAATCTACGAATCTAAGTATCTGCGTATCTACGTTGCATCTATGCATGCGTGCGCGTGCGCAGCTGTGTGTGTGTGTGCGTGCGTGCGTGCGTGCGTGCGTGCGTGCGTGCGTGCGTGCGTGCGTGCGTGCGTGCGTGTGTGCGTGCGTGCGTGCGTGGGTGTGTGTGTGTGTGGATCTGTGTATCTAGCCATCCTTTAATTTAGTTCCTTGTGCATGGACAAAGTGAACAGGACTTGGTTTGCGGGTAGCAAATGACGAACCATCACTCTCACTGTCGGGCATGGCTGTCCGCACCCGTCCCATGAGGACGCCCCAAGAAACACTGCAATGCAAGCCAATGTTTGCAAAGTTTATGTAGCAATCACTGCCATGTGGGGTTGTGAGGGGCTAGGCATTATTTAAATGCAGGTATGTGTCGGGTGAGTGCCGTCCACCACTGCAGACAGGAATCTGGAAAATCGGAGAGATCCAAATGGCGTTGCAGCCAAGGCCTCTGATGTAGTATAGTCTCCTCCTCAAGCCCTCAAAATCGCCACCATGACGAAAAGTCATATCCTGGCGAAGATCCGCAGGTAAGGATTCTAAGTTCTGTTATGTTCTGCTCGGTTCTTGCGCCCTGTGCACTCGCCCATGCAAGTGCGGCGCCGCATTCACCCAACATAGCGTGCTTAGTTAAAATGACTTGACAATGGCCACGGCCAAATGCAAAGATCATCCTCCTTCTCCTGCCTTCTCCTATTTTTGCCTCCCTCTCCTTCTTCTTCCTCTTCTTCCTCTTATTCCTCTTCTTCCTCTTCTTCCTCTTCTTCCTCTTCTTCCTTTTCTTCCTTTTCTTCCTCTTCTTCCTCTTCTTCCTATTCTTCGTCCTCTCCTTGTTCCCGACCTACCAGGTGCGGATCTCTAGATTCTAAATCAGTTTGCTCAGCTCCTCCTCTGTTCCTCCGATTCCTCCGCTCCGCGCCTCCTTTGCGCCGCTCTGCTGCAGCAAGCCCGCGGTCTGTCTTGGCCCTACCCCTTTCTAAGCCTTTTTC